GCTGGGCCAAAGATAAATATACTAAACTATGTTAAACTGAAGCTGCCATGGGTAATTTATTTCATAATATTAAATAATAAAAAAGCATACTTTTAATAGTATTAACCAATGCAGTGTAAATGTTTAATTTATCATTCTTGTGATTTGATTAAAAGCATAATCATATTTATTAGACAGTAGAGTTCAATGTTGAACACACTAGTCAAGCAGAATCTGCCTTTGCTTTGATTTGCTCACTTAAGTCCTCTACTTGTTGGCTGACAGTATGTACATTTAAACCTAAATCTGATTAATTGACACCATTTAAATTAAAATGTTCAATTTTAGTGGGCTTTTTTTGTAGCTTAACAATAAAACAAACAAATAAAAGGTTACATTTAAATGTGAACTTATTCTCCCTCTACTCAAATTGGATGGTGGGCCAAATCGAAGGTTATCATGGGCCTACTTTGGCCTGCAAGCCTTAGTTTGAGCATTTCTGCTTTATACTAATAAGTCATTGTATGATGATAGTTTGTAGTTCTCTAGACAATCGAGAAAAAAATGTTGCTTAATATTATTGCTTATTAATATTGACCTTAAAAATTTAAAAATGCTTCAATACTAGCTGAAATAAGGTTTTCTCTAGAAGAAAAACATATATGAAATACTATGAAAAAGTCTATGCTCTGTTAAACATCATTTAGGAAATATTTGAAAAAGAAAATAAAATTCACAAAATGGCTAATGATTTTGACTTCAACTTTATAATTCATTCATTTATATATTAGCGTCTGGTCAGATTATGTGATTTAAAAAGAGGTTAAATATGGACTGAATACAATTTTTTTGTTGTTTGCGTTTTCCACAAAGGAACAAAACACAGTAAAAGATTTTACTCTAAAAAGTTCAAATAGTTTTTTTAATGTAGAAACTAGTCAGTAAGTATGCAAGGCTTACTGCTGAACACTTAAGATCTTTAAATCTCACATAGCAGTTTAAAATTAGCATGTCTGCTTTTTCAGGACAAGCCCAATCTTGACTGATAATGTCCCCGACAAATGAAAATAATCTCTTTACGGATGATGTTGACATGTCAGATGTTTTATACTTTAATCCTTTCTCACGTACAATCACACCAGTGTGATGATGACCCTAGCGGTGTGATTAGAACATTCAGAGCGCACGTCATCTTCTGCTAAAATTCAAATGTGTTTCCTGCAATGTCTTGTGCTGCAGGTTTAGAAAGAGGCATGTGGAGATTGCATGGACTAAAAAATATGAACGTAGTATCTGTAACGTCCCCTATAGGTTTCTGAAGAGCACAAATGAAGCTACAAGTGGGCGTGTCCAACTGTCCAACATTTTGTTTGCGTGTCATCACACCCACCACAGGTAACCAAAAATGGGCAAAGCAGAAGGACGTGGGCGGAGCTACAGATGCCTTCTTGCATTTTGCCTAAATGGGGTTTTCTTTGGTAGAAATGCTTAACACTTCATTACCCTGCTAACTTCATTACCACATTTGCTTGATTGTGTACTATATCAATAAATTTAGTCTTTTAAAAACACTGTTGTAATACTTTGAGCCACTAAGCATTGTTCTTATGACGTTTTTCTAAAGGAAAAAATTATTTTAATTCTGAATACTTCAAATATATTATGTGTCTGTATATAATATATGTCTGTAGTAGTAAACGCAAGGTGAAATCCAGGCATAATACAGTATTACAACGTTTCAGATGACTGTTCAAGAATTTTCAAGAATAAGAATTTCACTCCCCTGGGAAATGGAGGCCACTTAAATGGTTTGTGAGCACAATTAAGTGCACACAGGATGCCATATCATCTGATAATTGTAGAAAATAATTCCAAAAGACAATTGATTGTGTAAAGCCACATAAAATAAAACAAAAAAGCGATGTCGAGTTCAGCGGCTAATTAGCTAAGTTGACATGACAGCGACCAGCGAGACCTAGCTGTCATTCAAGTGGCCACGCCCCTTATTTATGCAGACTTATTCTAATTGAAACATATTAGTTCACAGTTCTCATGAAAGGTACAGTATTAGCTAGGGATGCAACAATACATTTAGCCCATGGTTCAATACATACCACGGTTTTTTAACATGGTTTTTGGTTTGGTTCGGTTTGGTTCTCATGGCTTGACACGTGTTTTTTTTTTTTTTTTTTTTATATAGGCAATAGGAACAGTAAGAGGTTAAGAAGAAAAGAACAAAAACCCATTTTGTTTCACTTAAAAGTCAAGAAAAGTACACTAGTTCCTTGTGTATTGTATAAAAAAATTAACACTGAAATCTCACAGCTCCTGGTAGCCCATGTACAAACTGGGGAACACATGAAATCCTAATCTTTGAAAACCGAACGGTTCAATATTATATTGAGAACAGTGGCATCCCAAGTATTAGTTATATGCACCAAAAAAAACATTTTGTACCAGGTAAAAACAGCCAGTTTATTATGGCAGTCAGTGAACATCTGGAGCCAGCCCCCAAAGGCCAGTCGATGAATTGCAGTTTCAGTTACTGCTGTATTAGCTTTACGAGGTAGAGCAGGATGTTGCCGCGTGGGTGATTGTCATAAAGGATAATTGATCCATGTTTTCAAACAAATAACTTTTATTTTAGACTTATATTGAATTACACATAAGTACTAGCAAAACATAAAATTTATGGTTTGTGAAATACACACTTGTGTATATGGAGAGACAGCAATCATAATTATTTTTAAATATAATTAGACAGTTTTTTTTATTCACTTAAGACAAACAGCGAGCATGTAATGGTGACACACATCCGTCAAACAATGGAAATATAAGATACATCTCATCTTGTGCATACACAAGTCAGTCTGTGGACACATAATATAGAACAGGTTCTGCTTCTGCTGTTATGGAGCATACATTGGTAGGGGGAATCAATAAAAATTCTGTCATAAACTAAGTTGACTTTATTTGTTCCAAATCTGTTTGAAATTCTTTCTTCTGTAAACACAAAAGAAGATCATTTAAAGAAACCTGGAAACAATGACTTGCATATTTGCTTTCGTATTAGGGTCACACAGTGTATCAATTCAGCATTGATATCGCAGTGTTATCATTCGCAATAGTCACATCGCGAGTGTATGCGATGTTGAGGCTGGATTATAATTATTTTTAAATGCATTCAAGCAGAAACAAAGAAAATGTACCATCTATAACTTTTAAAAAATTAATAGTAATTCATTTTATTATAATTTTTTTTATAAAACAAAGACTTTGCAGTGTCATTTTACATTTAATTATTCAATGACTGTATACCTAAATCCATTTCGACTCTTCGCAAAACAATAAACACTGTTTATTTAATTAGCATATTCTTCTTTATTGGATTTTTATAATTGTAAATTGTTTATCCTATTTTATGCACTTCCCTACAGAATTATTGTTTGTTTTTGCACACATTTTTTTCAGAATTATTAATAATTATTTATAGATTCTTTACAAGCATTTATTTAACTCATCTAGTTAAATTGTATTTATATCGCAATATGTATCAGAGAATAAAAAAATCACAATGTGAAATAAATTATTATTATTATTATTATTATTATTCAGGGCTCGAAATTGCGACCATTTTGGTCGCATATGCGCCCGAAAATTAATCTATGCGACCTCATAATATATTTGGGCGTATTAGTGCGACTGCAGATAATGGTTGTAGTGCGACCTGTTCTGATTTTTTGTAAAAACGTGCTGAATCGCTCTTCCCTGCCGCTATATTGGTTCATATTAGCTGTCAATCACTCAAGCTATTCCGCTGTCAGATGACAGGGAAGGAGCTTTTATGACCACGGGAAATGCAAACGGCTGAAGAGTAAAAACTTAAAGCACACAGGTTTGCAAACCCCACCTAAAATTGAGGTGCAGATGAGAGCAATCATGACACGTCACGTGGTGAATAATGATCCGCCAGCTGAGATCAATCGAGTACGCGCTTCTTGGAGAAGGCGCCCGAATCTCCATGCGTCGCATTCACTGCGTGTTCAGCGCAAATGTCCGCTAAAAGTCAAATCTACTACTGTACATATCATCGCCAAGACAGCTCGCCTTTACTAAGTTTACACTGAAACTGCGTCTCATAATAAACAGCGGTATTACGCCGGTGGTATTCGCAAGAATCTTGCGCTGCCTGCTCATAAATTGGGTCGGCTGACTCGCCAGCTTTTCCACAAACATGAAAAGACAAAAGACTGAACCTTTAAATTGACACAAACTGAAACCAAAACTTTTAAAGAGTGATAGAAGTGAGACTTTACTTTCTTTCTTTTGTCTATTCTTTTTTGAGGTGTATATTATTTTTATTTTTTATTTATTTACTGATGACTGCTTTGCAGCTTTCATCATTGAATTGAATGATTTATTATAATCTTTTGTTTGTTTTGTAGCAGAAATATTATTTATTAAATTGACATGCATATAAAAACAGCAGTACAAAATAAATATTTCTTACTGCAATGCTTCATTTTTGTTTGATGCAAACTATACAATTATTTTTCATAAAGTAACAGACTTTTTATAGCAGATAACCTACATTCATGCACATTCAAGGCAGTATCATAATGAGAAATGTAATTCATTGTTATTATTATTGTCATTTTCATCATCATTATTTTCTATGGCCTAATTATTAGACATTCATTTTGGATTTATTGCACACAAATATCAATGTCTTCGCAGCATTAGTTAGATAGTTGTTTCTGTTTTTTGTCAGTCCTATTGATGTTGTTTTAAAATACAATAAATCCTTTAAAAAGCAATTTGCAGCGGTGCTCATTCAGTTTTGGCGGGTGCTCCTAAATTTTTTCTGGTGCTCCTAAATTTATTTTGGTGCTCCTAAATATTTGAAGTTGGGAGCACCGGTGCTACCAAGTAAAAAAGTTAATTTCTAGCCCTGTTATTATTATTAATGTTTCCTTATTGTGAGGGGAAATCTAAGTCCTTGCTCCCTTTCTGCTTTTCAGTCTTGGGACATTTTCTTCAGGAATGCAAACGCTGGTGCCCCTCCAGGTACAGCTTACCAGAGTCCTCCTCCATTGGGTGTGAGCCTGGCTGGACTTGCTCAGGCCCAGTCACTCGTGGGGGCGCAGCCGAATGTAGAGAAGCTGGTGGAAGACCATCTGGCAGTTCAGTCCCTTATCAGGGCCTATCAGGTACACGCAAAGATATTTAACAGTCCTCTGCATTTTCTTTTAAATGATCATCTTGAAGTTGATATCTCAGTGCTGCCTTTAACCAGATTGCAACTTAAAACTGTACCAAGGTAAGAGATCTGTATTTACTGTCATTTTAGTAAAAAAAAAAAAAAAAAGATCATTTTTAGAGGATACATTTTTGAGGTCACAGGAGAAGAACATTCACTAAGCAGACAGCAGAGGTTGGCCAGTATTGGATTTTGCCTATAAAATTAATTAAAGGTGGAAATGTCTGGCAGATGATATATTAATTACCTAATTTCTAAAATCAGTACAAACAAAACCCATTCAAGTTAAAATTGAAACTTGATTATAAAATTAATGTAACCCAGCAGTCCTACTTCACCCAACCCACGCTGAGCTGGAATCAAACCAGAGATTTCTTTGTTTGGGAGTTGGTTGCTCTAACAAGGAGGCTAAAAACCATGGCCTCTAGTGTCTGTTGCTAGAGCAACTTTAGAAGTCAGAGAAGTGAGGTTTAAATTGCATAGCACTTTGCTTACTGGCCTCTGTTACACTCACCCCCTAAACATCACTCTCATCCCGGACGAGCCCCCACGTGTAATCCTTCATGTTTCTACTGCACCTAACCTATGTTGAGATGGGATCAAACCAGCGATTCTTTGCTTGAGAGTTGGTTGCTCTAACAAGGAGGCTAAAGACCATGGCCTCTAGCGTCTGTTGCTAGAGCACCTTTAGAATTCAGAGGAGTGAGGTTTAAATTGCATTGCACTTCGCTAGCTGACCTCTACACTCACCCCCTAAACATCACTCCTATACCGGACGAGCCCCCACGTATAATAAACCAGTGCTACTGCACCCAACCTACGCTGAGCTGGGATCAAACCGCCGATTCTTTGCTTGGAAGTTGGTTGCTCTAACAAGAAGGCTAAAGACCATGGCCTCTAGCTTCTGTTGCTAGAGCACCTTTAGAAGTCAGAGGAGTGAGGTTTAAATTGCCTTGCACTTTGCTAGCTGACCTCTACACTCACCCCCTAAACATCACTCCTATACCGGACGAGCCCCCACTTTAAACCCACCAGTCCTATTGCACCCAACTTAGTTTGAGCTGGGATCAAATCAGTGATTCTTCTTTGTATGGGAGTCGGTTTCTCTGACTGGGAGGCTTAAAACCATGGCCTCTAGCATCTGTTACTAGAGCACCCTTTTGGGTTCAGAGGAGTGAGGTTTCCAAGCACAGCACTTCGCTAGCTGGCCTCTGTTACACTCACCTCCCCTAAACATCACTCCCATCCTGGATAAGCCCCCTTGTGTAACCTACCAGTTCTACTGCACCCAACCCATGCTGAGCCGGGATAAAGACTGGGTGATTGCAATACACCGTAACCCTGCATATGGACAAAAGCAAAAGTTCAACTGATTTAGAGTCTGTCAGGTTGTATTTCACCTCTTTAGGGTGCTGTTATACAAAGGCCACGGAACCAATATATTGGTCAACCTCTAGCTTATAGACCCATTTGGTTTAAGATACTAAATTGTGCAATACCTCATTTTGGTTGCATCATTTAACAATCATAAGATCCTAGGATCTGCTTGGTGAACTCCTCATGTCTTGTGACTGCTGTTGCCTTGTTTTCAGGTAATGGGGCATCACAATGCAAACCTTGACCCACTTGGCATCAGTTGTGTAAATTTTGACGAGGCCCCAGTAGCTACTGGGTTCCAGCATGTTGGTGAGAAATGTTTTCTTTCCCCCACAGCTCAACAGACCGCCATTAATGAGCCTGTTTTGTGTGATTGTTGCTTTCCCCCTTCCCTTTATCTGTCCCTCTTTCTCTCACTTCCTCTTACCCCGTTTTTCAACCCCTCCTCTACACCCGACACTTCATCTACGATCAAACTTCCACAACATCTCAACCTTCTTTCTGCCCCTTCTACATCTTTTTCCTGTGGGTGGTTTTGCGTTTGGCTCCCTTTTTGTGGCGGGACCTCTTGTCTCCTGTAGATACGTGGTCACCATGTGGCTCAGCTGGACCCTCTTGGGATCATGGATGCTGATCTGGATTCATGCGTTCCCACCGACATTATTACATCATCGGATAAACTCGGTGAGGAATTGTGAATGTCTGCCAGTCTTTACATAGGTAGTCGTAACTGCTTTCCATGACAGTTTGTGGTTTGAATGACAACACCACCTTCATAATTGAAGTAAAAAAAAATCGTATTCAGTTTGAGACATTCCAACTTTCCTGGAAAGCAAGTACAGATTTTTTTAGACTGACTACTGTGATTCTGGATGTGCTGTGATAAAGGGCACCAGCATTGTACTTAGTTTTCACTAAAAGACAAAGCCTGTCCATCAATCCAGTATTGGTTATTCAAGTCCTTTCCTTACAGTTTGATGCTTGAGCTGTCCTGAAAGATTTTGCTCTGTTCAACTTGACCTGTCGTTCTAGAGACTTGGCTTGATGTTCATATGATTTGACCCTGCATTCACATGCATACTACTTACCATTTTCTTCTTTGCTTAAGCTTTGCTAAAAGATTCTTTCTGCGTAGTTTAGGCTTGACTGAGTTGCAGATACCATGTCATGTTACATTTGTACATGTATCCACCATGGTTCAGAACTAGAGGATAGGGAGCGCAAATGATGCGTTTCAATTAAGAAAACAAAGCACTGAATACAGTTGTAAAGTAAGCATCCTTATTTCTAACTTCAGGGTTTATATCGTCTTAAAAAACACGGAAAAAATGTAAATAACAGGCTTGTTTTAGGGCTTTTTGTGAAAGTCATAGAAATATCTGTACTTGAGAATGCATTTAATTGATAATACTGTTAAAACTAATTACAATGCAGTATTGAATTTGGGAAGAACCGTGTTTGGGAGATCTATCACCTCGAATAATGCTACGTTCACTAAGTGTGGTAATGGCAGCTCACAGCTGAGGCTTGTACATTAAATATAAACTTGTGTATTGAAAGAAAAAAAATCTAAAATCTCCTAGAAAACTGTTGTGGGTCTCTGAGCAACACACAGCAATGTTTTGTTATTGGGATGTGCTCGCAAAAGCAACTTTGAACACAAGTCGTTAACAGTTTAGTGGTACTTGAGACCATAGTTGGCAATCGGGAAACATCCCTGAATGAATCTGTGGTTTTGAACAAATCGAATGAGCCACAGATTCAATGATTGATGCTTTATTTCTTAATAAAGCAGTCATTTGAATTAATCAGTTAAATTAATGACTGAATAAATCAATCAATCATTAAGATAGATTTTCTGAGACCTTCTGGTTGTGTTAGTTTCATATTTAGATTGTTGTTTAATTATAATTTTTAAATTTGTTTTTATGCATGGTCCCCATATTTCTTAAAAGTACTTTAGTAGACACATGGATTCAAGCTTAAGGCTAATTTATATTTCTGCGTCAAGTGCACACTTATGCTCCGGTGCAGCTTACTTGTGGGCGCATAGCCCTCGCCGTGGCCTTCGACGACTCTGACACGCACCTCTCAAAAAATGTACCTACACGTGTCGAGTAGCGCTAGCTCTGTGATTGGTCGGCTGATGCAGCAAAGGAGCTCTAGATGAAAACTGTTGTTTTATGTTTACCTTATGATTAAAGTTGTTGCACCCTCTTGGCATGCAGCCTCTGAATGAGTGACTTTGAGCCACTTGTATATTTAGGTAGCGTTCACAATAACACAAAACATCAGCGAAGAAACTCGACACAGAAACATAAACACCTACTGCCAGCTAGTGTTTCAAAGGTGTAATTGCAGAGGAACGCAAACAGCGCGCAGAAGTATAAATGCACGGCTATGCGCAAGGCAGTAACCCGTTGAAAACGCACAATGCAGCGATGAAAGCTGTGCACGCCGGACTGTTTATCAAGGATCTACCTCTGGATCTAATCTCACTATTTAGTAAAAATGATACCCGACATGTCCTCTGGAATTTGTTTTCCATATCAAACTTGCGAATTCTGAACTTGCAAGGAAAGGATGCAAGACCGAACTGTGTGTAGGTTACTTAATATTGAACCCCAATCAGATTGTCAAATTGATCGCCTCCATTTTTAGATGACTTCGTTTTCCGCCATCCACACTGAGACGAAGCAGCAGTTTTTTAAAATGAAGATGGCCTCTTCAGTATTTTCAATAAGCTTCATTTTTGGTGCTCGAAAACTCCGACATAGTGTGGATGGATGGCGTAATAGTAACAAAACTTATGCATTTTAAAACTAAAGCTTATTAATGTAAACGGGGACTTAGGGTGCTCAATGCCACCCTTCAAAGCAAGCTCATTTCAGGCCGCTCGCATCCAAGATCTTGTTCTTTCAGTTTGCCTTTTGACTCCTCCTTTATCACAACGTACTGATACAATGACCGCATTGCTGCTGAACCAATGTGCATGTCAGTCTCGCGTTACATCTCTTTTTCTCACTCATAAACAAAACCCCAAGAAAAAGGGCTCTTATCCAACCTAGAGTTGTCAAGCTGCTTGTTTTCTGGTTCAGCGCCATGGCCTTGGACTTAGACTTAGAGGTGCTGATTTTCATCCCGCCGCAACACACTCTGCAGTAAACCATCCCAGTGCATGCTGAAAGTTCAAGTCTGATGAAGCCAACACAACATCATCTGCAAATAGGAGAGATGAAATTCTGTGGTCTTTGAATTAAAGCTCGTCCAGGCTAGAAATTATTTTCTTAAAAATAATGAACAGAACCAGTGACAAAAGAGCCCTGCCATAGTCCAACATGCACTCTGAACAAGTCAGGTTAGCCTGACAGAAAAAAAAAAATCATTGAAATCATATTACATTGCATCATAATAGGGTGAATACATCCCATATTTTCTCAGTAGCTTCTTCATACACAATATATATTATCATTGGCTGTCCATCGAGATTCATATAGCATATAACCTCATCCAGATGTGTGAAGTGTATGTGTGACAGGATGGGGACCATGAATATTTGGTTATTCTCTGTGGTCTATTCAATCCTCCCTCTATATTCCATGCATTAGCTGGTAAAGGAGTAGATCTACCAGTTTCTACTACCATTTCAAAATGCACTCTCAACATTTATTTATTTATTTATTTTTGGATAATATCAATTGGTATTGTGTCTACCAAATCATTTTTCCACTGCAGAACTGTTTTCTGTTGTTTTCAATAGAAGTGTCACATTGTTAAAACACCCACAATGTAACAATGTGCAGAGCATGTGTCTTATGCTCAGCGTTTTTTAAAAGCTCCAACAGTTGGGTTTGTAGAACAGCACTTGGGTTTCTGCAGGGCAAACAGCGCTTCAGTGTTTAGCATCTCAGTGGCCAGCCTTGGTTCTGCTTTGCAGTGTATAAGGCATAATTTAAGCTTCAACCTTTAAAGTCTTGGCGGCTGTTATGTATCATGGGCCTTGAAGTTGTGATTGTATTGCTTCAGCATTAAGGAACTGCTTGGTTTGATGCCTGGTGTGATTTAAGTTAAGAAAAGTTGTGTTTTTAAGGATCACAGGATCACATCTGTGAGTTAACTGTCCAAATTTCAATAATTTAGCATCTTAGTCCAGTAACTTAATGTTTGATGATTCATGGCACAGACTCTGGGATTCACTAACTTCTAGTGGATTTTCTTTCTCTCCCCATACTACTGCCTCTCTAGACCTTACACATGTCAAGAAGCGTCTAAGTGCTCTAACCATTGGAGGTAGGCTTTCATGGCAAACAAATCTTTGCCTCTTGCTTTAAATCTATGTGTTAGTAGCTGCAAATAGTTTTAGTGGCTTTTTGAGTGCATTTTTTTGTTAGTTTTGTGGTAGCCGCATTGATTTGTGCTTTATATTTGTCTACAGTTTTACTAGAAACTTTGAGGAAAAAAAGGTGTCGTTTGGTTATCTAAAGCTTGTTTATTCCTACTCTCTACACAAGGGCAAAAGTGTGCATGGGACAAATGGTGTTATTGGTCAGTGTTGAATATCAGTGTGTGAGTTTTAACTTTTTAGATATATTTAAAACTATAAAAAAGACAGCCATTATTCTTGTTCTTTTCTCTATATATTGGGATAGAGACATTTTTAAATAAATGGGTGACCATAATGTGTGACCAAAATAATTTTATTAGGCACCCAGTTTCCCTACAATTAAAATAAATAGGTTACATTTACATTTCCAAAGTAAGAGTGTAGCAGAAATAAGATGTTCTTTTAATGAAAGGTCCATGCTTAATAAAGTTGAAATAAGAAAGAAAATTGAAGTCATTGTCCAATTTTAGGGGGCTTTCACACCTAGACTTTTTTGTCTTGTTTGCTCAGTTAGTGCAGTTCGGATCCGTGCCAAAACAATCGGTCCAAAATCGCCTGAATGAGGTGGTCTCAACTCGATTGAAACGAACTCTGGAGCAGATCTCTTGTAGTGAGAAAGTGATACGATCCGAGCCCGGCTATATTACAGAGTTTTATGGATGTGTAATGGGCATACAGCTATTTGAAGAGAATTATGAGTGGGGCGGGAGGTCATTCCAGACATCCCAAGTCTCCTAGAACTTTCGGGAGTCTCTGTGCATATGCGGGAGACTAAAACGAGTGATAATCTCCTGGAAATTGCGCGTCTCCCTCCTGGTCCTCAAATACGTCGCGCACCTTTCTCACCCCTCCCCACCACATCCCTCCTCGCTCTTCAGACACGTTGTGCGCACTTTGTCAAACACCACCAAACCTGCTGATAGCTGAGCGGAACTCTGCAAAATAAACAATGAAACTCTGACCAATGTAAGGAGAGTTTACTCACACATGACTTGTTTTAGCTCTTCTGGTCCGTTTAAAAACTTTGCAGTGTGAAAGCGAACCACACGAAGAACAAAGTATTTTAATCCCTGAATTTTAATCCCTGTTTCGGAACAACTGAATTGATTCACAGGTGTGAAAGCACCCTAAGTCTTACTTAGGCTGTTACCATTTTATATTTTATCCTAATTTCCAAAAGTAAAATTACGGTGTTTTACTTTGATTATAACTTTTACACTTTCATGTCCTCCAAACTGGCTCACAACCTAGTCAGTTTATGTCAGGAAAGTCAGGAAATTCTTTAATTCAATCAAAAAATAAATGTCAGTGGTGTAGCTTACTTATCGTCAACGTTTTGTCTTTGTAGAGTAGTTTAACAATAGTACAACAGAGACCACATCAAATTTAAATAGCTTGTCTATCTGGGAAAAAGCTCATGTGCCAGTTGAAAGTATAAGATTAAAAGCTTATTATTGATCACAGTGTAATTCTTGTGAATGTCTAAGCCGACATCAAAGAACTAGCCATTAATAGGCCCTCTAAGCTGCTGCAAATTAAATTAAATTTAGAGCATAGAACATGTGCGAAAAGCCATTGGGTTGCACTCTACTAAATGAGAAAAGATTGCGGTGCTCTGGTCACCTATTCTAAAGGCGGTCGCACACCGGATGCGGCACGACGCGCATGTGACAGTTGGAAGTATCGCACACCAGACACGCACATTTAAATGTTATTCGATATGAAACTATTTACTCTGTGGCACGTCAGAAATGTGAAGTGTCCTGAGTTGTAACTGGACGCCACGGACAGCTGCTGACTTGCAGCGCCGTTGTGCGTACTGATAGAAATCTACGTTTAGAATTCTAAAATACATGGCGCTGCATGGCACGGCGCATCAGGCGGTGCATCCAGTGTGCAACCTCTTTTAATGTTGCTATAGACAGCGAGTGCAAAGCTAAATTAAGAATTTTGTCGCTTTTTATATTTGTATAGGGGGGCACACACCAGATGCGTCGCTCAGCGACACAACACGGCGCGCACATGACAGTTGAAAGTATCGCACACCAGACGCGCACATTTGAATGTTATTTAAAATGAAACTCTTCATATTGCACTCTCTGGCGCGGTAGAAATATGAACAGTGTTCTGAATTGTAGCTGGGTGCCTCGGAGAGCCACAATAAGGGGGTCGCACACCGGATACGCCGCTCAGCAACACAACATGGCACACATATGACAGCTGGAAGTATCGCACGATAGACCAGCACATTCGAATGTTATTTAACATTAAACTATTCAGATGGCGCTGTGGTGCGGCAGAAATATGAACAATGTGCTGAGTCGTAGCTTGCCGCCTTGGACAGCCACTTACTTGCTGCACCGGTGTGCGTACCCTGATAGAAATCTATGTTTAGATTTCTTAAATGCATGGCGATGTGTCGCCAAGTGACGCATCCGGTGTGCGACCCCCTTATGGCTTAGCTGTTGAAAAGTAGTCAGCTGGTCGGGTGGAATTAGCAATCGTACAGTTAATAAAAACTTTTATGTGCAACATAGTATTTTAAATGGATGTCATATTTTTCATTTTATTAATGTTTGTCATATTATGTTTTCATATTGTAATATGTTTACCAGTTGACCGTTCATTTATAAATACAAACCAGCAGACAGAAGTCAACAAGCGCTTAGCTGAAAAGGGGTGGTGTTACAAAACTAATTCGAACTAGTAAACGCAGTTAACAGGTGTCATGGGAAAGAGAATGGTGTGAGCCAAATAAACCAGAGGGATAATCAGGGGAAATGTTGAATTGTGAGGGTTTAATGCTGTCTGTAATAAGTATGTACGTGTCTTGTACAATTAATGCTTCAGCTAGCTAGCTGTCACTACAGCTAGATATGCGTGTAAGAAAATAACTATATATTTATGTCAGCATGTTTAAAAAAACGGATGTTCATAGCTAAGTCACCAGATGGAATACACACTACATATATTCAAAACCGCATGATGGTGATATAATTGTTATGATGACACGTATGATCCAATTTAATGACAAAATACTGCTGTTTTTGTTGATTTTATTGGACCATTATAACAATGTATACTAGGGCTGCACAATAGGTCCTTGCAATGTGCAAATCTCCAATAATCAAATCGCAGGATCTGCAGTGTCAAGTTGGGATTATAATTAACCAGGAACCACCGTTGAGAACACATGATTTTCGGATCCATTGCACAGTTTAACTTAAATCCAAATAATAAAATCATCCAAATAAAGATTAATTGTGGTAAATTGTTTATACAATGAAGTTTTATTTTAAATTTAATAATTGAATTTCTGTACCTCACCACTGTTAGACTCAATTAATAATCATAAAGTTCTGTTTATTGATCTATGAAAGAGTTTTCATCTATGATTTAATTTATTTAATTTTGTATATTTTATGCAGATGCACTCTTGTGCAAAATCATCCCAATCAATGTAAAATTAGTCATCTTTAGAAATCATTTGTAAGTCGCAATATACAGTTAAAGTCAGAATTATTAGCCCCCCTGGAATTATTATTCCGCTTGTTTATTTTTTCCTCAATTTCTGTTCAACCGAGAGAAGATTTATTTAACACGTTTCTAAACATAATAGTTTTAATAACTCATTTCTAATAACTGATTATTTTTAGTCTTTGTCATGATGACAGTAAATAATATTTTACTAGATATTTTTCAAGACACTTCTATACAGCTTAAAGTGACATTTAAAGGCTTAACTAGGTTAATTAGGTTAACTAGACAGGTTAGGGTAATTAGGCAAGTTATTGTCTAACGATGGTTTGTTCTGAAGATTATCGAGAAAAAATATAGCTTAAAGGGTCTAATAACTTTGTCCTTAAAATGGTGTTTAAAAAATTAAAAACTGCTTTATTCTAGCCGAACTAAAACAAATAAGACTTTCTCCAGAAGAAAAAAATATTATCAGACATACTGTTAAAATGTCCTTGCTCTGTTAAACATCATTTAGGATATATTTAAAGAGAAGAAAAAAAATCGATGAGGGCTAATAATTCTGTCTTCACCTGTATATGTATTTCATAAAACAAAATATTGCAATGTTTTTCCAATATGGTGCAGCCCCAATTTATTCTTCAAATGCTCTTGAGATCTTGACCATTATACATGAATGTACATCTCTATTCTTTACTTTGCTTTACAGAGTCTGAATTTCACTTTGCTGAAAATTCTCAAATCTGTAACTGGGAAAAGGGTAATTGATGTGCTCTAAACGGCTGGCCAGATGATAAGTGTGATGTGTATGATGCTCGTTTTGCACAGCATTGTGTTCGCAGTGGTTCAATTCAATTAAAAGCCAAAGCAATTCTGATTTCCGTTGCCTGTGATGTGAGTGCTAGCACATATGTCTTTTGCTATTTTGTTATTCTGATGCTGAATGGCTCAGCAGTCTACATGAATACTCTTAGACTTCTTTAATGTCCAGATATATAGCATATTGATAAAATAATTATTGAACACATCATGCTTATTCTTGACAATAATATTTCTAAAGGAGCTGTTGACATGCAGTTAAACAGGATATTGGTAAAAACTCAAACAATGCAAACATAAAAATAAAACAAAACAAAAAAATCTGAAAAATGAGTTGTGTAATAACAATGGAATTACACAAGGAGAAAGTGATGAACTACTTAAACGTATTTAATACTTTATATAAAAGGGTTTTTAATTGGTAATGGCAGCTTAAAGACTGAAGACTTAAAGAATGAAGTCACATGAATTGCTGAAGTGTGAGTTTTCACAGACTTCAACAGAAATCTTGATGGTTCTGTGGGTCTCGTCTATCAAATCTGATCTTTATTTTGTATTCTCTATTGGATTCAAGTCAGGTGATTGGCTGGGCCATTCTACAGCTTGATTTTATTTCTCTGAAAGCATTTTAGAGTTTCCTTGGCTGTTTTAGATCACTGTCTTACTGAAATGTCCACGTTGAACCTTGGACTGAAGCAGATAATATTCATTTGCAATGATTAAGGGCAGAGGGTTGCTGAAGAACTGCTGAGAGATTTTAGCTGCTGTTAAGGCTTTTCTTGCCTTTCCACAGCTTTCTTTCTTCATGTGTTCAATACTTTTTTTTCCCTGCGTCACTTCATGTTATTATGCATAACTTAATTTGTAAACTAATTAGTTTTGTTTTCTTTTTCATATATGGATTACTTTGGTTTAGAGCTGCACGATTCAGGCTAAAATAAAAATCACAATTTTTTTTGCTTAAAATAAAGATCTCGATTTTGTAGATGTAAACTAAAGGTATGGTAAAAACAAACAAATGGCACAACATCGATAATTATATTATGTGTAGGTCTACTGGTTTCTATAAATAATTCTATTCTACTTGTAATTCTGATGTTGAATTATTATGTTTGAGATATATGCTTGCAATCTGTCATATTAGAAAATTTTATTCACTGGTAAAATCAGACATTTGCCATTATCAGATTATATTCAACAATATATAGGCTTGAGTAGTTATACTGACATTGTAAACCTTTATTTTCATGCACAACTGTGTGTTCGCTATGACAGAAAAAAACATATTAAATGCTTGTCGTAATCATAACTCTAAAATGTGATATGATCATTTAAATGAAGTGCACACTTCAGGTTTCAGTTTGACTGCTAAGTTCTTGTTCATACTTCGGGCGGCTCCCAAACGATAACTCTGAGCCACAAACTGAACATTATTTACAACTGTACTACCTGGTACTCGCAACATATGCAGGTTCTGTTCACTACAGTAGACTCGCGCGCGTCTATCATTAAGTAGAGCGCGCGCGCGCCTTCTCTGTGAAAACAGCTCACGGTCAGCAGCTCAAGTCACGTGTGATTTCCCGGCCGCGAAAACATCATTATATTATGACAAAAATGACATTATTAGGTGAATTATACATTATAAATACTGTATGTAACTCATTCAACATCATTTGGAGGTGTCAATGTCACTGAGCAACGTGTGTGAAACAATGAAAAGACTCGTGCAGCCGACTTTTTCTCTCATGAACTTGAAAATATGATTGACAGAATCGTAGAAATGCTGGATTAAGATCGTCTAGGGGGTCGAATCGAGATTGTGATCTTTTAACGATTAATTGTGCAGCTCTACTTTGGTTGCTACCAACATTCTTGGAAAATATTAAGTCAACAGCACCTTCAGAAATATGTATATATATTTTTAGAAAAATTGTGACTTGTTCAGTACTTATTTTCCCCACTGTATATGCTAACTGATAATTATATGCTAACATGAAGAAGCTATTTTCATTTTAGCTTTTTCTCCATATATATGAAACAGAAGAGACGGAGTGAGTCTGTGGTAATAGAAAGTCTGTCACTTGAGTACTTTGTTTTGCTGTTGAAATGTATTAAAATTCACAGAAATAAATACAAAAGTGATTCCTTTTCAACTGAGATGTGTATGTGGACATTACTTAGGAATGCTTCTGCTGATAGTCTGGCTTTATTGGGGGGAGTTGTGCTTTGGAGGCTTTGCTGTCCTCTAGCTGCAGATGTGGTGAAGGGAAGCTTTATGTGGCAAATAATGAAATCTGTGTGTTTATTGAGTATATTTTGGTAAAGTACACCAGAACACACAACTTTACACAACACTTTCCATATCAGCTCTTCCATTATCTACCACACATTCACATTTGTACAGCTGAATACATGTACAGCTCGTATATATGTTATGTTTATAGAGTATAGACTGTATATTCATTCTGCACCAACCCTCACAGGAAACATTTAGCATTTGTACATTTTCAGAATACTTTAATTTGTGTGCTTTTTATAAGCCATTTTCTTTATGGGGACCAAAGTGTTCCTGCAATGTCAAAATTGACTTTTATTGCAAAACTTGAGGATGTTTGGTCCCCACAATGTTAGGAATGCAAGGTACACACACACACACACACACACACACACACATACATACATCAAAAACAATTTTACATTTTCTCCTTTTGCTCTTCCTCTTTCTCTCTCTGTTCATCTTGCTTGCCTGGTGCTCTTACTAACACTCTCTACTTTAGTTTGTTCTCTCTCTTTAATATGACAGTTCTAGTGTGTTTGTGCATGGCTGTTCACTCCTTGTTAAACAACGTAATCAATAAAGGCAGGTCAGTTTGCATGTGCACCGACTGATCAGTACCAGCTTTTTGTAGGTACTGTATGAGCCTCAGTAAACCCTCATTTTCCCTCTGTTCATTTATGAAATTACCTTTCAAGTTAAAATTACCCAAATAACTAGCCATTCATCTGCAGAAGGTCTACTCTAGTGTTTAAAGAGTAAAACTTTAGAAACTAAAATGTCCTGCTAAGCTATGGCATATTATTTGGATTAGTTGTGCTATTTCGGGTCATAGTAGAATCTATTATAGAATCTATTTACCTTGTTTATTTAAAGGGGTGTGTGTGTGTTTCTAAAGGTGAAGAACTATCTCATTTGATTGATTGATTGATTGATTGATTGATTGATTGATTGATTAAATATGTCTAGGACATGTTTTTGTTGAGTTTTCTGATTCACTTTCAAAGGTTTATTAAACGTGTGCTTAATGTATGTTGTGTTTTTTTTTTAAATAGATAGCAAGCCATTTTTTTATGTCACCCTTTTGTTAGGATATTGAATAATTTATTAGTCTTAGAAGTAATATCGTAATACTGTAGTTCATGTTTATATACAATTCTAGCTATTTAGAACTGCACCTTTACTATACTATTAAAGGTCATGAGAAGTGTGCATTTCTTGACGTAATCTCAACTGAAACATGAAGAGGGTGGGTCATAGAGTAGCCCATCCCCTTTAAAAAAACAGCCAATAGGATTTTTAGTTTTATCACAGCTCTGTCAGTGAGAGTCCTTGAGTGAGAAGGGTATAAACAGAGGTGGGAGCCAGCTCTGAGTGAGTGGGACTTGAACTCTGAGTGGGTCATACAAACCTGGAGTTTTAATTAATTTATAATTTTGTACATAACGCAGAGTCCTATTGTGCTTTATGAATGTCTACATCTACCTCTAGGGCTGGGCAATTTGGCCTAAAATCTAAATCTTAATTAATTATTAACATTTCAAATCGATTACGATTAATAAATGATCATTTTATTATTTTATTCCCCCCAACTTTATTTCTAGAAATTTTCAAAAATTTACAAAAATCACATATTTTAGAATATTATTGTACATGTTGACATAGAGAGAGATAAAACAAGGATCTAATTGACTAGGACAATTATTGACCCCCAGATATTTATATATTTAAAAATAATAATCATAAATTATTTTTAAATAAAAATAAAACAACAACAAAAAATTTACCAACCAACCAGCCAAACTAAAAGCCTCATGTATGAAGACTTGCCTTGAATTCATACTAAAACAATGCGTATGCACATGCTATAAATGTGCGTACACCGTAATAAAATCAGATGTATGAAATACTGCGTACGCGGAATCCCACGCATTTCTCTTTGTACTTCCAACTTGATGTGAAACTGAGCTCACGAGCGCAAAACCCCTCCCTAAATCTACTTTTTATCAAAACCAAATGAAAAAGCAATGGCAAAAGCAAGCAAAAAAAAATGTTGAACAGAATGTGAATCAGAGGTGCTCCTTTCAGCAATAGACCAGAGAAAAACGGTGTTATTTGTAAGTTTGTCGTTTGTCGGTCTGAACATTGCACTGTGAGAGAACTAAAAAAGAAATGGTCCGATGTTAAAGTGTAAAGTTTTGTAGTGTTTATTTAGAATAAGTGCAAATAGCACACCTCCTTGAAATGAGCTAGTGGAGTGATTCCCACCTATCACAGTTTGATTGACAGGGACAACGGAACTAAAGAAAGCGGCAAACAGCAGTGTGAGTGGCGTAGCTCGTACAGCGCATGGCAACATGTTTTGACACGTTCGATTATGAACTCAGTAGGAATCATTAAAATGTGCGTATTTTTGTTAAGCGCATTTGAACTTTACATATTATATGCACATTTATTGAATGGAAATGTTTCTGATTCACGTATGCAAATTAGTCTTCAGATGGCGCCTTTATAGCAGTGTGCGTGCAGTCGATCGCTCCGATTACATTGGGGAAAAACGGCGATCGCTGCAAATTGCGCTTTAATGTTTGGCTGGTCAACTGCATGGTATGGAAACCTTATATACATACTGGACATGCAGATGATCCCGTCCCATACAGATGCCATTGCATGGCTCAAAGATACTTTGTAGTGTGCAATTTAAAATAATTGCCTCTAGGAGTCACCAATGGAAATAAAACAAACACACATAAGAAATGAGCGGAAGCCAGGCACGAAGTTGGCGTGGAGCAACGCACATTCTCACGTTAAGTTCATGGTTAGTACATCCAAACGTGAGCGTGAAATCTGGCGTACGCCAAGTTTTTGTGCATACGCAGTGTTGATACATGAGGCCCCTGGTCAATATGTCACATGAGATGTCACACAGCAGCGAAAAATGTAAAAATGAACTGTCATCCAGCATGCAGGGAGTGTACATTTCCATATATTCAAGGAGAGCCCCAAATTTTATAAAAAGTTTTTGGAAGAACCCTTCAGACAGTGTCTAATTTGTTCCGGTTTTATGAAGTGAAAAACGTCATTAATCCAAATAGAGTGAGTAGGTGGAGCATGAACGGTTATTTTAATTATTTATTAAAATGTTTTGCCCCTATTTTACACTGACAGGTTTTACATGCCGTCTAAAGGCATCTCTGGAGCAGCTTCCAATCATCATTAATGTAGCTCAAAGTAAGGCTCAAGAATGAGTCCATCGTCCTACTTGACTAGAGATCAGATGTGGCTGCAAAGTGGTTGCAGAAGTAGAAATCAGCCACAGCCTTTAACAGAGTGGGGTCACATGACTCGAAGGGAAAGTGATTGAAAAAGACCTGGAAAAAATTTGTTCGATTATAGGCTCTGAACATCGATTTCGATTACTTTTCGATTAATCGCCCAGCCCTAACTACCCCAACCCTAGACCCAACCTCTCAGTAACCTGATGTCTTTTATTAATATCTGCTCCACCTACACCACCTAAACCCAACCTACTGGGTGGTTTAAGTCGCTCCCACTTGGAGTTTACCCAAACTACTTGCGGTGTAATCCCTCCCACTTGGAGGTCTCCGGGCTGCAGCAATACCTACTTGCTTTGAGCACAAGTGCAATAAATGAAATGCAAATGAGAAGTGTCTTAAAGGGGGCTGGACATGTCAGATTGCAGAGAGCATTTGATTGGGCAAGATTTGATGAGAAACTGAAATATGAGGTAATGTGAAAAAAAATCTAAAGTTTATTTTAATTTCACAGGACCTGTAATATTTTATACATACAAATATGTACTTAATGGGAAATATGAAATGTACATTTAGTCTTGATATTAAAAGAACATTAGATGCTGGTTGAATAAACGTAATAATATAAATTTTTTTTTTTTGTTCATTTCAGTAGCTCACTCTCCAGATATATAAATATGTGCGCTTGACCCATTTTTACCGAGTGGAACAGTTCTGTACAGTAAGGTACATATTTATTTTCATTTCCACTGTCAAACGTACCAAAATAGCATACCATACCACTTTTTTGAGACTCTTAAGTAAGGGTGCTAGCACAATAGTATTAAAAGCGAGCAGCTTGATGCGCTGCTAAACAGGTTTACTGAGAATTGTCACTTGCATGACAATGCAAACTCCACACAGAAACGCCAACTGAGCCGAGGATCGAAGCAGCGACCCAGCGACCTTCTTGCTGTTAGGCGACAGTACTACCTACTGCGCCACTGCATCGCCCTTAACTGTATATATAAATACTTATGTATAAATGTTAATCACTAACCTTTCTATCAACAGGATTTAATTATAGCTGCAGATCAGTGATATGCAAAATAGTCTACTGTAGCAAAATAGTCTACTGTAAAAAATTACATTTATGAACACATACAGAGAGTTACAGTCTCTGAAATGTTACTAATTACAATTAACCAAAACTTACATTTACAGTCAGTACAAATCTCTCATCTTTATTCTTCACCAGCACATGTATCGTTACCATCTTGTCAAACTAATTCCGTCATTTTGAGTTCATAATAGTCCAAAAGGCGATGATAATAATTAAACATGACAGTTTGTTCATGTTTTAAGTTGCTGAAAGAATCATTTGCTGCTTTGTTTTTTTGGGCTTCTCCTTATGCTGTGTTCACACCAGACGCGGAACGCGCGGATAAATCGCGCTATTCACACGTAAATAGCCGCGTGAACGTTTGAGTTTACTCGCTTCATTCGCGCGTCAACCCCCCCTTCATTCGCGCGTCAAATCCGCTTGAATCGCATGTCAAATTCACTTCAAAACAGACGCGGATTCGCGTGATGGGCAGGGCTTCTGTCTGCCCGGTGACTCTAGCTTCATAGCTAAATGGCTAACATGGATTTTATTAAGAAAATAACAGTGTTAATGTGCTTTATGGAGACTGAAAAACAGCGTTGATACATTTAGGGACCTGTATGAGTCCACTGCATCCTTTCAGAGGTGCATCCAGCTCTGTGAGCTCATAAACTCCTCCAGAAACTTAACCTGGATGACGAAGGCTTTCAGCGGTGCTTCTGACTGAGCCAAGCCGAGTTTGATTAACTATTGTCGGTGAAGGCTGGAAGATTTCCCTCGAACCCCGACAACAGGTTCTACGTCACAATCACGCCCCCACAAGAGCAAGCTTCTGATTGGTTAACGTGGCACGAATGTATGCTGAAGTTCAGATTTTTGAAATAGAGAGATTCGCGCGAAACGCTCGTTAAGCGCGTCAAACGTGCAAAACGCTCAATTCGCCCCGTGCCATTCGTGCAATTTGCATCATTCGCGCCGCGCCATTCGCGCGTATCACGCTGCAGGATGTCTATACGCGCGTTTGCTTTGACTTAACATGTAAATCACTCGCGCTTAACGCGCGTGCCGCGTCTGGTGTGAACGCAGCATAAGTGTTTTTGGCACTTCACTACCGAGTTTGTCCTTTTCTGATTGGATCGGATGTCAGAAGCACTTCAATAATCACACGCACATTATAATCATCAGCTCAAGTTTGTCATTTCAAATATAGACGCGCACGCTAGCTCTTTTGAGAAAGTAATACCGCTTGTACTTTAGATGGCCTCGTAAATACCAACAGGATACATGCAGATTCTGCTCTTTTTCTTGGCTGCTTTTGTTTAAGGCAAGGTTTGTTTAAGCTCGAGTTAACCATGGCTCGTTATTATTTGTATATATTATAACGGTGTAATGTTTTGGCTGTGTATTTAAAAATGGCGCTTTCTTTGTTTTCGTTCTCCTGGCTTGTACACGTTTCTCTGTAAACCAATAGCGTTCAGCTGCTCGTCTAGCTCCGCCTTTTGGTACCTTTTGTTGTACCAAAGACACTAGAATACATGAGACATGTCACTCGTATACTTTTGAACAGAGAAAAGTGTAACTGTCAATATGGGGATTGAAGTCCTGCCTTTCAGTACAGTAGCCAGTCAGCGATCGCTAGATAGCAAATAAAGCCCGCCTTCTAGTACAAGAGCTAATCACCGATCACTACAGACTGACATTTCTCCGGGGGAGTGGCTTGGAGCAGATGTGAATTTCTGCAGATTTTGTATGACTCAAAGGTTTAGAAGTGAAACTAAAGAGACAGTTGTTGCTAAATATAATTGTTGTTTTATAATATAAAGTTTAATCGTAAGCTCGGCAAGCAGTTTTGGAGAATTTGATGTTTCCCCATTCAAACAGAATGCCCGAGCATACTGCCCGAGAGGCGTTTCAAAGATGGCCTGCCGAGTGAAATACTTGCCTTAAAGAGACTTTGGTTGTACTAGGTACCCTTTGAAAAGGGTAGCCAAAAAGTGGTACGGTATGGTCCGCTTTTTTTGTTACCTTTTGACAATGGAAACAGCCATAAAAGCATACCAACTCGTACTGTACAGTACCATACCACTCAGTGGAAACCGGCCATAATCGAACTGCTGTACACCACGCCTACCAAAAGGGTAATGTTGATTGTGGAAATACAAACCCAATACAGACTATGCTGAACCATACTGTACTAAACCAAACCATCAGTTGAAAGCGGGCACTTTATTTCTGGATTAATTTATGGCAACAGTGATTATAGCATTATTATGTATTATATTGACAATAAAAAGGCTCTTAGTGTTAACCCTCTTTTTTTTCCTTTTTTTTCTTTTTTACCCCCAAAATTCTCTCCCTCTATCAATTTTTAAACCGCCTTTCTTTTCCCTTTTACTTCATTTATCGCTCTCTCTCTCTAACTCTCTCGCTCTCTCTCTCTCTCTCTCTCTCTCTCTCTCTCTCTCTCTTTCAATTGCCATCAAATGACTAACTACTTGATACATGATGATGTCTTTTTCATTTATCGTCTGCTTCGTCGTGTCACTGTTATAACCTGCATCATGCTAATAATGTATTTATTGTGTTTCCATAACACTCTAACCCACTGTGTTTATGCATGCCATCACTCTACCCATCCCTCACTAACTCAAACTTTTTTCCCCTCTCTCTCTCCTTGTCACCCCACCCCTGTTTCTACATTTGGATTTTATACCCCTGCATCCCTTCTTCGCACTCATTGGCATCCATGCTGTTTCTTGTCTTTTTCTGTTTACCCTGTCCCCCTCTTCACCCCCGCTCTCCACCTTGCCCTTCTCTCTGGGTTGGGCTGGACTTGTTGTATGTTTGACTGTCAGGTTTCTATGGGCTGGAAGAGTCTGATCTGGATAAAGTGTTCCGCTTGCCCACCACCACCTTTATCGGGGGTGACGAGAGTGCTCTGCCCCTCAGGGAAATCATCCGTCGCTTAGAGGTAAGTCAGGACAACAAGAACTATTGTAGCTTAATGGGTTAGGTTCACCCAAAAATGAAAATTCTGTTATTAATTACGCACCTTCATGTTGTTCCATTCCCCTGAGACCTTCATTCATCCCCATCGAACAAGTTAAGATATTTTAGATGAAATCCAAGAGCTCTCTCATCCTCCAGATGGTGCAATAATCCTAAAACGTTCAACACCAGGAACATTATCATCAGATTTTCCAATAAAACTCCAATAAAAACATTTGTGCGGCAAAAAATATTAAAACCAAATATGTTTGTCATTCTTCTGTATTAGATCAGGGTGTTTGTTTAATAAGGGCAATAGGATGCTTGCATATTGTGCTGCTGACCGTATTAGTCATATGTCATATTGCCTGTAGTAAATGTGCACCCTGACACAGGAGTGAAAATGTAGTTGAACAAAATCCTATTTACATTACTTGTGTGTGTGTGTGTGTGTGTGTGTGTGTGTGTGTGTGTGTGTGTGTGTGTGTGTGTGTGTGTGTGTGTGTGTGTGTGTGTGTGTGTGTGTGTGTGTAAAAGTGTTCTTGGAGCTTCATATGTTTACTGATTTCAGAATCACTGAGGTCACTTGGAATGTCTTGTCAATGACTTGTTATTTTGGACTTTGAATGTGGACAAAGATCTCTTGAATTGAATTGGTCCACGAATGGTTCAGATCTTACCATGAAGAAGAGGTAACCGTATCAGTATAGGTGACCTTAGGTCAAGGTGGACACCCCATAACGTGGAGTCCCACAAAGCTCAGTTCTGGCACCTCTCCTGTTCAACCTTTATATTCTCCCACTGAGCCCAAAAATGAGAAAGAAGAGAAATCCCCTGCCACCGCTATCCTGATGACACTCAGATCTACTTTGCCTTACTGTCAAAACTTTCTTCTAAACAAAGAGAAAACAGAAGTCATTGCATTTGGGAAAGGAGATGAGGTTCTCTATTTTGACAGTCCATGCGCAAAACATAAAGCGCAGGACACAAACGCTTTCAGGGCGTGTCAGAATTCATATTTGCTAATTTAAGGACGGGAAAATCCGCTTTGCGCTGTGGCGCATGGTCTAAAAGGGTTGCGTTTATTTTCTTAATGAGTTATAGGTGTGTTTTGAGAATAAACCAATCAGAGTCTCACCTCCCATTGCCTTTAAGAGCCAGCTGCGTCGCGCCATAAGCGCATTTGCTATTTACAGGACGTAAAGTAACTGGAAGTGGAAAAACTGAGCATTTCACTAGCAAACAGTTAACAGTTTTTTTTTTTAACAGAAAACAGTTTAACAGGGCATCTACCGCGCAAGAATGAGAGATAATCAATCTACTTTCACTTTCGCTCCCGTGGATAGGGAAACCTTAACGCACAGACATCAATTAGCCTATAAATAATTAATTTTGTTTGTTAAGCGCAAATATTTGTTTCAAAACTATTTCTAAATTCAGTTCTAATTTCCTGCAAACGAATAAATGAACAATAATAATGAAGTGTGCTCAAAAACCATGTTATATCCTAAAACACATGCTGTGCTCCATATGGTCTAAAACCTGCAGGTGGGCAAATCTAAGCTTGTTTTTAATAAAACAAATATAAATATGCATATAATAAATAATGCTGCTAATAGTAATAACATTATACAAAAGCAAATTGTTATGAATGAACTGAAAAAGCCTCCTGAGATGAAGAAGACATAAAAGCAGTGGTTTTTCATATTTATGTAGGCTAGAAAATAATACGTTTTGAAATATTTTAATTCTTTATATTTATATCCTATATAAATTCTTATTATATCCTATATATAGGCCTATCCTTAATATTTAAATTCTTTTTCATATGTAAAGATATTTGAGGATTGCTCTACATCTTGTGTGTAGGCTATTAAGCACTGCGTAAGCGAGGCGCAACTCTGCGCTGGAGTTTAGAACGGGTTTTTTTTTTGGAAAAATCTATTATAGTTTCTCAAAATAGCAACGCGTCTCAGAACGCCTTTCTTTTTAGACCAGAACGCCTATGGGCGCACATATGAGCGCAAATGTATTTGCTATTTAAAGAGTGTGGCACAACACTTCAAAACGACTCTTGCGCCAAGCTGAAACTAGCAAACAAATATTGCGCCACGCCTTGCGCCACATTGCGCCGGGTGTATGATAGGGCCCTATGGCTCTAAAGGTCAAACAACAAAAAATAAGTTCAAGAATCTTGGTGTCATTCTGGAGTCAGATATGAGTTTCCGTAGCCATTTAAAATCATCATACAATACTATCATCTCAAAAACATTGCAAGAATTAGATGCTTTGTTTCCAGTGAGGACTTAGAGAAACTTGTTCATGCTTTTATCAGCAGCAGGTTGGATTACTGTAATGGACTCCTCACCGGCCATACAAAAAGACAGTCAGACAGTTGTAGCTCATCCACAACGCTGCTGCCTGGATTCTGACCAGAAGCAGATAATCAGAGCACATCAAACCTGTCCTCGGGTCTTTACAGTGCCTCCCAGTTAAAGTTAAAGTTAATTTTAAAGTATTAATACTTACTATTTTTAATCATTATTATTCTTTGTGTTTATTTTCTTTTACTTGTATCTTTTATTCCTATTTATGTAAAGCACTTTGAATTACCATTGTGTATGAAATGTTCTATATAAATAAACTTGCCTTGCCTTGCCTTGCCTTGAATTTCATCTGAAATATTTGAATTTCTGATCCAAAGATGAATGAAGGTTGTAACTGCACTAGTCGCAAAAAAATGAACTCTACGCTTCATGCTGATGTCTTTGCTGTTTTTTTGTTTCTCTCCCTCGCTCTCTTTTCAGCAAAAACCATGAAAACTACAAGAAAAAAAGCATATAACATTCAAAATATGCATTTCTCAGAGTGCTTTTTACAGTCTCTCATTTAAATGTCCGCTGGAATGCATATAAACTTGTACGACAACTCCGAATCCAGTAACATCGGTCTTAACGCATAATATTGTTCACCTAAACTGACATAAAACAACACTATACACAGAATGTAACAGCCTTAAACAGTGTGTGCCCTCTTAGACCATACAGATGAAAGAACTCTTTCTCAGGCTTTGTTTCCTTAAGTTCTTTCTGCCACCATGTTAGTTTGACCCATAAATCAACGGTCCCACACTCCACTCAAGTTAAACATCTTTCTTTACAAAACCCATAACTTCCAAACGTTTCAAGGGTGCACATTGTTCTGACAAGTATTTTAAACAATAATTTAACTCAAATTGTGTTTTATAACAAACACAAATAAACACAACTTTGTCTTTGACGTTTCTAAAGGTCGTAGGGGATTACAACAAGGTGAAGTTGTGCAATTAATAATTGAAATTTTAGGATGAACTAGCCCTTTTAATGACTGTTTTAAACGTGTGTTAATTATTTTCTGTAATAAGCGTTACAGTAAGATCAACAGAGCAGTAAAATTTTCTTCTTTTTTTAATTTGTATATTTTTGATCATCCAAAATTGTAATTGATTTATCGTTTTAAATTGACGTGTTTTATAATGCTGTTTTGTTTTAGTTAGAGATAACCACCTTTTTTCTTTTTTTAATAAGTGTATTTATTTTTTTGCATTTGCTCTTCCAGATGGCGTATTGCCAGCATATTGGGGTCGAGTTCATGTTCATTAATGACCTAGACCAGTGTCAGTGGATCAGGCAGAAGTTTGAGCGCCCTGGAGTCATGCAGTTCAGCCTGGAGGAGAAGAGAACACTTCTGGCTCGCATGGTCCGCTCCACCAGGTAAGCACACACAATCAATTTAAAATGTAAGGTTAAATACATGCATTACAAGGCACAGAAGGTCATTTTCACCACTATAAAATGTGTGAAATCAGGAATTGTTGTCATCAGTAAATCCTATGGGACTGTAGAAATCATGCTCATTCACAATGAACAAATCTTTGCTTCTAAAAATGCAAGACACGATGCACAGCATAAACCACGAGTGCACAGAGCGCCTGTAAATAGAAGCTTGCAACGGTTGCCCCGCCTCCAAGCACTTCTGATTGGGCCACTGCTATGGAGCTGAGGGTAATGAGCTGCACTGCATGTGAAAGTTAAAGTTCTTCTAATTTCACATGGCATCTTGAAAAAAGCATGGCGTTCAAGTGCACAACGCTTCAAAAGATGTGAGACACAAGAGTAACACAAGTCCATCAAGCACATGTTTACATTGAAAAACAATGGCTGTTTCTCAATTCCAAGAACACAGAGAACGGACTTACATTCTTGTAAAGACCTGTCTTGCCAGCTGTCCTCGGAAGAACGAACTCGGGAGACTGCGAGAACAGAGAATGCGTCCTGTGAGAAATGAAATGCTGCGTTCTTCCTGATGGTCACATGACCTTCACGTGTTTTTAAATGGAAAATTATTTAAACATTACAGCACTCATACAACGATTTATTGTTTTTTTTCCTTTTTTTAAATATATTCTATTCATAAAAACATTATAAAAATACGCTGCACAATATAAATAAAACAGATTTTAATATGAATTTTAGCAAACAAACACCCTTACCCCCGGTTTCACAAACAAGATTTAAAGCTAGTCAAGATTAAATTCAGTGGCGTAGCGCAAAATGCGGAGGCCCCCCTGCAGGGATCACCGATGGGGCCCCCAGTTTTTAAGGGGGTCGGTGGGGTTTGGGTGGGGGGTGTTTGGGGGCGGCAGAGCCAGAGATATACACATATACACATATATCTATGATCGGGAGTTTTCCTGGATGTTAGTATTTTTTTTTTTTAATTATGAAAATTATAATTTTACATCACTTTTCTACATTGATGGATCAGTGATCGCACTGGCATTCCTGACAAAAAGCTTGTGTTTGTGTGTACAGAAATGTACTATTCACCCTCCCTGTTAAATTTGATCTAATCATGTCCTGACACACAGCTCCTTATCTGCTTTCACTTCTCATTCTGATGGAGGGAGCGATTTGTTTGTGAATGAATCTCCATTATTAACGACTCTTTCACTAACGTTAGCCGACAATAATACAAGATTCTGGCAGCGCAGCATCTCGTTGTCATATTTCTTTTGCATTGTTTGCTGATTTTATTCAACAAAGCTAGCATAAGCCGAGTGTTTAGTGCGAATTGGAGCTACTTTGCCTTATGGTGAATGCAGTAAGTGACTGTTATCATCAATAACGCTACCTGTTTAGCACAAATTTCAGAACATACAAAAACAGAAAAAAAACTTAATATTACCTATGGAATGTTCTGCCTTTGTGCTTTGTTTTCTTTGTTTGCTTGTTACTACACTCGTAGACAGCGCTACAGTCCCGCATCTTCACGTAAAAACACTTGACTAGTGCGGTTGAATGACATTTGTCCTGGGAGCACTGTACCAATGTGGCGGCGCTATTGACCCATGCTCAGGGTCCCTACACAATATCTATTGTATATATCTATGTCACAAATTGAGGTGCGGGAAAAGGAGGCGGAGTGGAGCGACAACGTGGAGAATCCTTCACAAACTGAGGAGCGATCACAAACCGAAAGCGGCGAGAGCGTCAAAGTAGCCAGAAGTCATTCATTTTTAACAAGAACCGGCGGCGAGAAACAGCGGCGCGTCTTCTTTGGCCATGACGCGGTTCGGCGGCAAGCAATCAGAATGAAGTAGTCCACCGCTTGAGAGGTGTTCAGAGAACACAGACCTGTGAACTTTGGTTCCGTCCACAGTTGTTCCCAAGAGTTTGATTATTGCAGTTCCTGGATTTTCCATTATTGAAAATCGCGACGACGTGGGGCCCCCTAATCACGCGGGGCCCGTCCGCTACGCCACTGATTAAATTGCATGTTTGAGCTGTCTTAACTCAAAATAACATTCGGTGAGATGTCTTAAAATACATCAGTGTCGTTTTTTTTGTCTCCAGGTGCACACCAGGTGCACACATTTTTCTAAGGCTATTTTTATAAATGTGGCTGATAGCCTAATTTATCTAAACATTAGTCCTGGCTTAAAGGTGCAGTAGGTGATTGTCTTCAGACACATTTTTTGTTGTGCTGGTTGAAAGTCTATTCACAGTACAATAGTAATGATTACAGTAAATTATCTAAATGTGTTTATATGTATTTTTATGTTCTGGGTAAAGCATGAAACTAAAAAATGTTCATCCAATTAAATAGAGTCCGACAACCATCTCTCATAATTCGATTCCGATAAGCAGGTCAGACTGTCTGTCAACATATGTAGATTCGAACTTCTGCGCATCTGTTCATGCAGATCTGCCATTAGCGCGTGCCTGTCTGCATCACAAAAGCATGCGCGCGAGCGAGCTGCGGGCCTTTTGCCGATGCTGAGTCAGAGCCAGAGGCGCCAAAGGACAGACGAGCTCGGGCCGATTACTGCAAAGCCAGGCGCCAGTATAATTCGCCCTTAAAGCGGCCGCACGGTCACGAGACGGACCGGGAGAAATCAAATGCTGAATTGAAACTTTTAAAAACCTGAATCAGTATTGGAGTTACTTTAGCACGCTGGAGGAAGGACGACACCATGGCTGAAGTATTACTGTTAGACTGGTAATTTTGTTTTAAAACTTAGTCAGGCTATGCTTGTGTTATTATGAATGACTTATATTCACAGACGTGTTGTTCAGCCACTGAAATCTCCTAGTGAAAGATTGATGTGATTATTTTCAGTTTCATAAGGTCCTTTTACAGCATCTATAACGTAGATTTATATTTAGTTTAACAACAAAACATCAGTAAATAACGCTATTCCGCCTAAACAGCTTTATTGAGCTGAAGTTGCTTTTATATTCACATTGGGTCATTTTTGAACAATGACAGCCATCCTATACTGTTTACCATGCTACTCTGAATTTTCGCTCTGAAATAGCATGTAAGTGTGGCTAAGTAATAAATGTAATTCCTGCACGGCGCTGGCACTAACTAACTGGCGAATGACATGAACTAGTGGGTTGTCTGTCAGCTGTTGTGACGCTGTGCACGCGAGCTCGCGATTTCAGGGGGTGTGGCTTTGAATCACAGTCCCTCCCCGCCGTCCAAAGATAATATGCTAAGCGGTTAGCATTTTGGCAGATCACCTACTGCACCTTTAATCTAAACCCTGATTGTGAAACTGGGCCTTAATGTGTTTATTCCTTTATTAAGATTTCCAAGGTAATGTTTATTTTCACCGTTTCATTTAGGGAAACTCCTGAGGTAAATAAGTGATATTTCTGAACTTTAATGATAAATTTATATCTATATTTATATGTTGTGGTTTTCACATCCAGTCGCAAAGACTTCTGGGACTTCTAGAGCGAGATCGGTGCTCAAGTCTGCATCGGTGCGTCCTCAATATCAAGAACGCGGCCGGGAAGTTTTACTCGTCATCTGTTCTTGCGGTCTTGAGTATTGGAACTGAACTTTGGCAGCTGATGATGACTTTACACGAGGACGCAAGACCGCTGAAGAACGCATATTGAGAAACAGCCAGCCAAAATAAAAGTAGCATGTTGGAAAGGAAAAACACATTCTGTGGGAACCACCCCTAAGACTGAAAGACATCAAAGTGAAAGGAGTGTGCTGAAGCAGTTGCTAATGAAAGATGCTAAAACAGCTGAGCTTTCATTTTATAACGTTGTTTCATTATTAGTAGTAGTAGTAGTAGTAATAGTAGTAGTTATAATACTATGTGCTGTCTAATAAAACACACGCCAATCAAATTGAAATGTTTATTTTGACTGGATTGCATATAAACAACAAATACATGGATGTATGTATTTTTTGTCTTTAGTCGTTGAACCCCTATTTACATTTAAATCACAGCTTTGTTCTTGAGCATGTGTGTTGCTTTCTGAAGGTTTGAGGAGTTCCTGCAGAGGAAATGGTCATCTGAGAAACGCTTCGGACTGGAAGGCTGTGAAAGTCTGATCCCTGCACTCAAAACCATCATTGATAAATCCAGTGAGAACGGCGTAGACACTGTCATCATGGGCATGCCTCACAGGTACAGGACAAGATGCAGCGATAGAGATAGAAAGGATAGATAGAAGGAGAGAAAATTGATACTACAGTGTCATACAGCGATTCATAATTGACCTTTTGTTATTTTTCTGCATTTTTTTGTAGAGGACGTTTGAACGTGCTTGCCAATGTGATCCGTAAGGAATTGGAGCAAATTTTCTGTCAGTTTGACTCTAAATTGGAAGCTGCTGATGAGGTCGGTGGCGTTTTGTTACTATTTGTTATTCTCATTTATTCATTTGATCAAACCTAAGATTTATTTGTTTGTTTGTTTGTGTCTCTGTACCTGCAATAGGGGTCAGGAGATGTCAAGTACCACTTGGGCATGTACCACAGGAGAATAAATCGTGTGACTAACAGGAATATTACCTTGTCATTGGTGGCCAACCCTTCCCATCTAGAAGCGGTGAACCCGGTGGTGCAGGGCAAGACTAAGGCTGAGCAGTTTTACAGCGGAGATACTGATGGAAAAAGGGTGAGATGAAAAAAGGACATCAGTGTGGAGCCAGATCAGTCTCAATGATAATACATTTACTAAATAAGATTCATACGTCCTCAACACAATTCACATTTACAAGATCCAGTTCGTAAGCTCATAACAGGATTCATAAATACACACATTCAATTTGTAAATTCAATACATTATTCACAAGTACACAAATCCAATTCATAAATTCAAATCACGATTCATAAATACACAAAACCAATTCGTAAATTCAAAACATGATAAAAAAAATACACATCCATTTTGTAAATTCAATACAGGATTCATAAATACACAAATCCAGTTTGTATGTTCAAAACCAGATTTAAAAATGCGCAAATCCAATTTTTAAGTTCAAAACACGATTCAAAAACACATCCAATTCGTATGTTCAAAACACGATTAAAAAATACTCAAATCCATTTTGTAAATTCAATACAGGATTTATAAATACACAAATCCAGTTCAGATGTTTAAAACACAATTTATAAATGCGCAAATAAAATTCGTAAGTTCAAAACATGATTAAAAATACACAAATCCAATTTGTATGTTTCAAACACTGTTCATAAATGCAAAAATCTAATTTGTATGTTTAAAACACGATTCAAAACTACACAAATCCAATTCGTAAATTCAAAACATGATTCATTAATTCGCAAAACCAATTTGTATGTTTAAAACACTAATTAAAAAAATACACATCCAATTCGTAAATTCAAATCACGATTCATAAATACACAAATCCAACTCATAAAATCAACACTTTTCAAAAATACACAAATCCAATTTGTATGTTCAAAACACGATTCAAAAGTACACAAAGCCAATTTGTAAATTCCAAACACTATTTATAAATACACAAATCTAACTCGTATTTTCAAAACACGATTCATCAATGCACAAATCCAATTCATAAATTGAAAACAAGATTCATAAATACGCAAATAAAATTAATTTGATGAAAATATTTTTCAATTATATAAAAGTTATTTTCACTTGTGAATTCACGAATTGCATTTACAAATGAGATTTTTTCCTAAATGTGAATTGTGCTGTGCATTTATGAATTTTATTTTGTAAATGTATTTTACAATACATTTACAAAATAAGACTCAAAATGAGACTCATCTGGTTCCATACATCAGACACAGGCTGCTCATGTAATCATGTACATTTACCATTTATACATTTTATAGTAGGTAGACTTCTTAAATAATTTTAAAAGCTTAATTTTCACTCAAATTCTGCATTTACTTGATTTCAAGGTACAAAGCAACAACATTAAAGCAGTAACAATTCAGTAATAATAATAATAATTGATTAATTTTGAATTTTCCACTTATTTGATGTTTTTATCTATTATTCTAAGTTGATGATTTAATATTTTCATATATAGATACTTGGTTTTTTTTTCTTTAGTGTCATATATATGAATATTTAACACATACTTGGAGCTAATTTGTAATAACATTAGTGAAACTTTCCAGAAGTCTTATAAATCAGTGAATCTTTAGTGAGATCATGTGTAGTGTTTTCAGTCGTACACTCCTAGTTAAACCAGACACTGTTTTTGTTTCAGGTGATGTCAATTTTGCTTCATGGTGATGCTGCGTTCGCCGGTCAGGGCATTGTCTATGAAACCTTCCATTTGAGCGATCTTCCCTCGTACACCACGCATGGCACTGTGCATGTGGTGGCCAACAACCAGGTAACAAACAAAAAACTCTTGAGTTCTTCAGAGTTATTCCATTAGTATCAATCCAAACAGGCTTTGTTGATCATTAGTGAACACCAATCATTAGTGTTTTTTCTGTCGACTCGTGTCTTGATGCTGAATTCATGGTTTGTGTGTTTTTCGTTTGATTAGCTCCAGATTTGTTTTCAGTACTGACTATCTAATATATATACACAAAAATAGTATTGTAAAGCATCCTATAGAAAATGATCAATTAAAAGATAGATTTGTTTTCCTTTTTTTTTGTTTAGAAATTCTTTTGTTGCATGGTTACCCAGATTTGGCACAAATTAAATTGGCCGACCAGCTAAATTTGGCTTCAAGATATAGACCCTAGATTTCCTCATAATGTCTGCATCTCTCTTTCAGATCGGTTTCACTACAGATCCCCGTATGGCACGCTCATCTCCATATCCAACCGATGTTGCCCGTGTGGTCAATGCCCCTATCTTCCACGTCAATGCAGATGATCCTGAAGCTGTGATGTACGTGTGTAATGTGGCCGCAGAATGGAGGGCCACCTTCCACAAAGATGTGGTGGTGGATCTGGTGAGTTCTAGTGTATTTCTGACTTTTACCATCACAATTACTTTTATTTTCATGTTTTAGCTCTTATGACTTGTTTACATTTAGGTGTGCTATCGACGTAATGGCCACAACGAGATGGATGAGCCAATGTTCACTCAGCCACTGATGTACAAACAGATCAAGAAGCAGAAAGGAGTTCTGCAGAAATACGCTGAGAAGCTCATTGCTGAAGGTGCCGTTACGCGACAGGAGTATGAGGTCCGTCAGCCAGAGATAATTTAGCTGCCTTTTATCCTCAGCTGGACCTTAAAAGTGTTCTTCCATCTCTTTCCACAGGAAGAGATTGCGAAGTATGATAAAATCTGTGAGGAAGCTCATTCTCGCTCTAAGGATGAGAAGATCCTTCACATCAAGCACTGGCTGGACTCCCCCTGGCCAGGTGTGTACACAGTGTCTGAAAGCCGGTCCCCAGATGGCACAGTGCCCAGCACAAATTAGTATTTCTTAGAAAAAACTACTTCTTAGATCTTGCTTCAGAATTAAAGAGCTCCTATTATACATTATAAAAGGTCATATTTTGGTTTTGGGGGTCTCCAACAACAGGCTGATATGCATGCAAGCTCAAAAAACACTTTTATTGTCTCATAATATGCATTTATTTTTACCTAATTATCCCAGCTACTCCCATATTATTTGTTCAACTATTCATTTGTTCCCAAACCTATTCTTATAGCGATGCTAATCTGCGCTGATTGGTCTGATGACCCAGTCTGTTGCATTGTGTTTTGACCCAATTGGTAAACTGCGTTCTGCGCGACACATAGAAAAATGCCCACCACGGCTTATCATTATTGTTGAAGTAGTCAGAGTGCAGAGTATATGTGTGAGCCCAATGCTAGAGTGCATTAAAGCAAGGCAGTTAAACACCAGTATGTTGCTCTATTCTTAACAATGACACACATACAGTATTGAAACTTGACTGCCACACGTGTGTAGTAACAGCCGACGGTGGCTGTAGTAACATCAATTGGCAGAGGATTGCAAGCTCACAATTGCATTTATATTGGTAAAGAAAACGGCCCGCATCGCGTTTTCAATGTGGTTTTAGATGCGATATGAGAATATAAAAAGTTAACCAGATACAGTACAAGCGGTTACAAGTAACAAAATACAAATGAATACCTATTTTGCAAGCTAGAGAAAACAAGCAGGCAAAAAAGCATTTTAATCGCACCTACTCATACTTGTGAAATGGAGGAAGAAACTTAACCATGAACTGTGTACTGATAAAGTTCCTGTCAAGCTCTGACAAAGTCGACAAATCCCCTGTTGCAATGTGGATTATTGCATTAATCAACAAAGTTCACTCATTAATGTTCACTCATCTTCAGTCAGGATCAGAGCCACAAACATTAGTGTGCTAGTGTTTGAAGGGAAAGGTACATTCACGCTTTACCGGATCCGGCACAGAACATATTTGTCATTGTTTTGTGTTGGCGTCTGTAATAAAGTTCACGGCCCTTTGGCCGCCGGGAAGAAGGAGGCGGAGAACCGACGCAGCTTTAAAATATTTATTAATAACAGTGACAGCAGCTCCTCACGGAGACTGCCGTCTAAACCAAAACAAACGGACAGCAGCTCCTCACGGAGACTGCCGTCAAACTGAAAGCAAAAGTAAAATATGTCCGGGCCTGGTCCTCTCCCAGCTTCCTCTGCCATCGTTCCTCCTTTTATGGTCCAGAGCTCCTTCCGTGGGATCCGAGGCAGGTGCGCACCGCAGGTGTATCCACTTATGCGGTGGCCTCACTCCGTTCCCACGGCTCTCGGCCACGCCCCCTCGCCACAGCGTCGATACAAACAGGCAAAAGATCCGGACGAATGACAGATTATTTAAACAACTGTGAGTCGAATCTTTTATTTTAAAAAATCTATATTTTTAAACAAGGTGCACTTTCAGATTTAAACCTCAGCTGGATGTTTTCATTCACTTACAGCTGTGTTGCACACTGTATGGAAGGTCATTTTCAAAAACCATAATAGGGGCTCTTTAACTCTTTCTATGGTAAACTATACAATAAGATATTTGTACAAATATGGTTTACACCAGGTGTGACCAACCCTGTTCCTGGAGATCGACCTCCCTGCAGATTTCAGTTGCAACCCATATCAAATACACCTGCCTGTAATTATCAAGTGCTGTTCAGGTCCTAATTAATTGGTTCAGGTGTGTTTAATCAGGGTTGGAGCTGAACTTTGCTGGAAGGCTGATCTCCAGGAACAGGGTTGAGCACCACTGGCTTACACACTCACTCACTTTCCTTTGGCTTGGTCCCTGCTTTATCAGCGGTCGCCACAGCAGAATGAACCACCAATTACTCTGGCATATGTATTGATCTGATTTGTTGGTTTTAAATTGAATTACTTCTAATTTTGCCTTTGTTACTTTCTAACATCTGATTGTACGTCTGATTAAGAGCCAGTGTGCTTAAAATTACATGCTGTGATAGCCTTTTAAAGTAAATATATTTTTGTAGCTTTGGTGTTGCCGCCATTTTAGTATATATTTTTGTATTACTTTTTGTTTGGCTGAGAACCCATTTTAGATTGATGTGCATGCTTTTGTGAATGTTTTTGATTACTTTCTATTTTACCGAGATCATGGTGGAAATATGTTAGAAGGAAATTTAAATTTGAATTTAGAAGCAGATTAGTGTGAAGAAGAAAATAATGGCAACTAACAGTGGTATTTAAGAAAAATATACACTGTTAGAAAAGCTGTCAAAACAGCTTTGCATGGAAGAGAAACTTCACGACTGCCCTAAAAGGTTAAAGTTAAGAAAATTAGCAAAGCATTGTTAGTAAGTTTGAATACTGTTGCAAAATTATCCAAGAATTTATGAAGGATGGACTTTTGGGATGCTAGCTGGGGCCACCAAAGTTCACTCCACTTTTTTTATAGTCCTCTAGAGTTAAGCAGTTGAGGTTTACCATTTTTGACTCCATTCAGCTAATCTCAGGGTCTGGCGCTTAGCATAAATGATTGAATCAGATTAGGCCATTAGCATCACGCTCCATTTAAAGCTTGACTCTTTTGTAGTTACATCATGTACTAAGACAGACAGAACATTAAAAGTTGTTATTTTGTAGGTTGATATGGCTAGGAACTATATTCTCATTCTGGCGTAATAATCAAGGAACTTTGCTGTCGTACCATGGCTGCAGAATGGGCAACAATATTACTCAAAGCAGCTACCTAGTTACAAATCTGGGGACTATTTTCAGGTGCTGCATAATATTATTGTGCCGACTTTTTTTTTTTTTTTAAAGAGATACTAAAAGCGCTGGTCCTCTGATCAGCTGAATGGATTAAACAAATGGTAAAACTCAACTTGTAAACTCTATTAACTTAACTCTATATCCTGAAAAAGGAAAGTGTTCATTTAACAACACATTGTTGAGCCTTTTGGGACAAAGCTCATCACCATGCCGATTCAAAGCCTCATGTGACACCATATAACATACACTGCACAGTGGTACTGTATGTGTTACTGTATGCATGGCTGTCATTTATGAATGAAGCCATTGCTGAAGCCCATAGACAAAAAAGCTCATTGTCAAATGTAGAGGTCACTGGGTGGTTAGTATTTTGGCTTCAATGGATTCCAAACTCTAGTTCTGCAGGAAGCTATATTACATTGATGGTATCATGAATTCACTGATGTACTGTGAATTACTGAATGAGAAGATGCTACCACTTACTCAACCCAACAGAACACTTTTAGGGGTTTTTGATAAATCTTTTCTTATTGTGACATACACTCACCGGCCACTTTATTAGGTGCACCTATCCAACTGCTGCTAACGCAAATTTCTAGTCACCCAATCACATGGCAGCAACTCAATGGATTTAGGCATGTAGACATGCTCAAAACGATCTGCTGCAGTTCAAACCGAGCATCAGAATGGGGAAGAAAGTGACTTTGAATGTGGCATGGTTGTTGGTGCCAAACGGTCTGGTGTGAGTATTTCAGAAACTGCTGATCTACTGGGATTTTCACGCTCAACCATCTCTAGTGTTTACCGAGAATGGTCCGAAAAAGAGAAAATATCCAGTGAACAGCAGTTCTGTGGGCACAAATGCCCTGTTAATGCTAGAGGTCAGTGGAAAATGGCCAGACTGGTTCCAGCTGATAGATCAAGGCAATCGATGTATGCAGAAGAGCATCTCTGAATGCACAACATGTCCAACCTTGAGGCGGATGAGCTACAGCAGCAGAAGACCACACCGGATGCCACTTATGTCAGCTAAGAACAGAAAACTGAGGATAAAATTTGCACAGACAAACCAAAATTGGACAATAGAAGATTGAAAAAATGTTGCCTGTCTGATGAGTCTTGATGTCTGCTGCAACGTTATGATGGTAGGGTCAGAATTTGGCTTCAACAACAAAAGAGCATGGATCCATCCTGCCTTATATCAGTGCTTCAGGCTGGTGGGGGTGTAATGGTGTGGGGGATATTTACTTGGCACACTTTGGGCTCATTAGTCCCAATTGAGCATCGTGTCAACGCCACAGTCTACCTGAGTGTTGCTGTAGACCATTTCCATCCCTTTATGACCACAGTGTACCCATCTTCTGATGGCTACTTCCAGCAGGATAACACCCCATGTCTTAAAGCACGAATCATCTCAGACTGGTTTCTTGAACATGACAATGAGTTCACTGTACTCAAATGGCTTCCACGGTCACCAGAACTCAATCCAATAGAGTTACTTTGGAATGTGGTGGAACGGGGGATTGGCATGATGGATGTGCAGTGGACAAATCTGCAGCAACTGCCAGCAGCTATCATGTCAAGATGGACCAAAATCTCTGAGGATTATTTCCAGTACCTTATTCAATTTATGCCACAAAGGATTAAGACAGTTCTGTAGGCAAAAGGAGGTCCAACCCTGTACTAGTAAGGTGTACCAAACAAAGTGGCCGGTGAGTGTAAATCTGAGTGAAATTCCTGGTCAAAGAAGGGGAAAAATATAGGAACTATAAAATGTTCGTTCCATTTTAATGTTTTTTGATTGGATTTTAAAGTGTGGCCTCAACAGAGAGCTAAATTATTGGAGAAGTCCATATTCTGATAGTTCATTATCATTATTAAAATAATAATTTCAATCAGGGTCCCCGCGAGTCCTTAAAAAGTCTTGAAATGCCTTAAATAAAATTTTCGATTTTTAAGGTCTGAAAATGTCTTGAATTCAGTAATTTTCCATAAGGAGGTCTTAAATTTCATGTGGGATCTTAAATTTCATGTCCAACTCGTCTTTTTTATTCATTTTTTTCAACCGCTATTTGACCAGCGCAAAATTTGGGGGCAGCACTTCGTGGGTGCAACCTGCATCATTCCATAGGTGACATACAAGTGATTGATGAATGCGTTGTGTTGATACTTCGCCACCACGGCATTTTGCGAAATCGCAAGCATGGGCAAATGTTTGTTTGATGACAATTGGTTGGAGGACGAAAAGTATCGGGGGTGGCTAAAGAAAACAGCCAGTAATCATGAAGGGAGGTGTGCTTTATGTAAAAAGACGATAAAACTGAGGACAATGGGCCGCAAAGCGCTCGATTCACACATAAAAGCAGAGAAGCACAAAACGTATGTGTAGTCGCAGGCAAGTAGTTTGCCCATAAGTATGTTCTCATCGAGCACTTCGACCTCAGCCTTCCACAAGGCCGTCCACTTCTAGCAATGCCCTCAGCAGCTTTGCGAATATAGTTACATTTAAGGCCGAAATACTGTGGGTATTTCAAACCGTAAGCCGCCACCACTCATACACCTCAAATGAGGACGTCCACCTAGTTTTTCAAGCAATGTTCCCTGACTCAGAGTGTGCGAGTCCGTTCACATGTGGAAGAGACAAAAAAGTATATTGGTGTTGCCCCATACCTAAAGAAGAAACTAATTTCACGAGCAAACAAGGACGCTTTCATCATAATGTTCGATGAGTCCATGAACGCAGCAACGAAGACTTAGACTTGCACTTTAGACGTTGATCAACTGACGAGACCGGTACCCTGTTGTCAGGGTTGTAAGGTCAATCAGCACTCGGCATAAAAGTTTTTGCGTCCCTTTGACCTGTCTTGAGCGTCACGTGGCTCTGGTGAGTTGTGCCACGCTAATGCTTCACCCCATCATTCTGTGTTGACACACTGCACACTTTTCTGTTTTTTTTTTTTGTTTAGGTAAAGTCTTAAATTTTCATTTTAGATAACTTAAAAAGGTCTTAAAATGTCTTAAATTTCCTGTTAAAAAATGTGCAGATACCCTGTCAATGAGTCAATATATGCACAGATGAATCATTCAAAATCTAAAGTGTGCATGTAAATCGGCAAATCTTATTAAAGTGTATTGAACCTGAAAATCTCTTTATGTACATGAACAAAAGCTAAACTCTACTTTTTTTTTCTACTGCTTTGCCTGTTTGTAGATCTTACAGCATATTCGTTATGTTTGCTGTGCAGGTTTTTTCACTCTTGACGGACAACCCAAGAGCATCAGCTGCCCATCTACTGGTCTGCCAGAGGAAGAACTGGCCCAAATTGGACAAGTGGCATCGTCTGTACCTGTGGAGGACTTCACAATTCATGGAGGTACACAAGTCCCCAGGCATAAAAAGTAGCATGTAAATATTACGCACATTTCATCTTCTGTTACAATAAATACCTGTTTTCCACATGCAGGTCTGAGTCGTATTCTGAAAGGCCGTGGTGACATGATCAAGAACAGGACAGTGGACTGGGCTCTTGGAGAGTATATGGCTTTTGGATCTCTGCTCAAGGAGGGCATCCATGTGCGTCTCAGTGGCCAAGATGTGGAGAGAGGAACCTTCAGGTGTGAACAATAACATTCAATAATCATTCAAAAGAACACGTACTATAATGATAATAATATAACAATTTTTTTAAAAGTGCCTCAGAGTGCATTGATTTAGTGTTAATTTCTGCTCTGATAACTACACAGTAGGTATGTGGCTTAGCTTAGTTTAAAAAAAATCTCTAAATAAGGTTTTATATGCTTATTTATAAACAAAGGAGTGACCCCTACAATTGGTGGTTAGTTTTGACCTTATTTGGAATGGTCATGAATATTAATGAGCTCTGTTCTGATGCTCCACAGACACGCAGATGCATTAAAAAACCGATATGTTAAATAATCATACTTCAGTTGTCAAAAAATATTTGAACAAATTGAGTATATTTCTTGTATTTACTAAAGTATATTTAGTAAAGTGTAATATTTAATATAAAATGTATATTTAGTCTCGTTTTCAAAAATGATTCAGTTATTCACTCATAAATATTCATGTTTCATTGCTAGATGAATCATTTTGATGAATTATTCAGCGGCGTATTTTTGATGGCCACCTATACGTTAAATAATGTAATTGCTGCCTACAACTTTCATTTTTGAGCGTTGTTACATGCAAATTTTAATCTTAACCATAAACATCAGGGGCCTCATGTATCAACGCTGCGTACGCACAAAAACTTTGCGTACGCCTGGTTTCACGCTCACAATCGCTCACGTTTGGATTTACTAACAATGAACTGAACGTGGGAATGTGCGCAGCTCCACGCCAGCTTTCTGGCTGGCATACGCACAATTTTTGTGCGTGTCTGTTTTATTTCCATTGGCGACTCCTAGAGGCAGTTGTTAAATTGCTCTCTACAAAGTGTCTGAGCCTTGCAATGGCAGCTGTATGAGACTGGTTCACTAGCAGGTTTATAAGGTTTCCATACCATAGATACGGTTAAAGGTACTGCAACATTTTACACCTATAAATCTCACTATTTCTTTTCTAACTCACTCAGTGCGATGTTCAGACCCAACTGTGTTAACCGCGTCAGCTAAACTCTCCAACTCAATTTTTTTCTTTTGTTGTTAATTCCGGAGAACAAACTTGCAAATAACACCGCTTTTCCGAAAGCAGCACCTCCAATTCACATTCTGTTCAAAGTTTCTCTTTTTGCTTGCTTTTTGCCTTTGCTTTTTCGTTGGGTTTTGCCAAAGAAGAGTCATTAGCATATTCATACGGGGGAGGAGGCAGGGAGGGGTTTTGTGCTCGTGCATGTTGCGCTCAGTTTCACGTTCATTCGGATGTACAAAAGAATATGCGTGAGTTTCGGCAGACAGCATTCACATTTACAGCTTTGTGCGTACGCAATGTTTTAAGATGATTTCCACGCAAGTCTTCGTACATGAGGCCCCAGGCGTTTTATCTAAACTATAAACTGTTATCTTAGTACTTTTGTGCTATTTGACTGTTTGTAACTTCATAACTAACTTAAAAGACCAAAGACTGAATCTCTAAGGATTATTAAACGTATGCCAATTACCATCATTTACATTTATTTGCATGGTTGTGGATCCCGATCTTATAATGATTAGTTGTGCAGCTTACACTGATTGCATTGATACAGGCTAAACAAGTAGTCACAGAAAGAATCCTTTAATAACCTAAGAAACCCATCACATTCATACTACAACTTCTTCCGTTATATTTTACAGGAAAGTCTAAATGCTTTCATAGAGAGGCAATCTCTCTGCGATCATTACAAATTTAGGATTAATCTACCAGTAAAAAAAAAGAAGTAGTTTATGGGTCACGTGTGTTCTGAACCATGGGTTGTGATCAATACGAATCAGGGATCAACCGTGATCCCTTACACCCCTAATGGCCAGTATAATACAAGCTTAGATAAACAGAAAAGGATCATTGTTGTAATCTCATGAAGAAGCATTGTGGCTAATCAAACACTGTCTGAGGCGTACCAATTAATGATCCCCCATGTGGATCGTCACAGTCAGTGTTCTATTCCAACTGGCCTGATTTTCCGTTGGGTTTTCCACTCACAGGATAGAAACGAGAACAAGAAACAGTGGTGTCTGAGACTCATGTTATGTCACTTGCATGTACTGAACTCTAATTCTTCAGCTATGCCTATGCATATTCAGATTTTCATTCTATCCACTAAGTTGTGACGTATCGGTGAAGTATGGAATACTGTTTCCGGGTCCACATCTCAGCTCATTTGAATTGAGAAAATATTAGTTTATGACCACTTTTTAGTCTCATCACACATTAAAGTTCATTTTATATAAAATCATGGTGTACACAACAGTTTCTGGACTTGCTGCATAAAAGACACCAAAATTGTAACAATTTACAAAAAATGTATTACTTTCTGGCCATTTGATATTGATTTGTACATTGCAATCTTGATTTCCAAAAGTATTACACGGCTTTGTAAATGTTTATTATTACCATTTGATGAGTCTCCCCATACAGTTTGATAGAGCCTTTGGACCCAGAAGCTGGTTCGCGTGGCGTCACACTTAACAAGCAGATGGCACCTTTAAGTGTAGTATTCCAGTAACTTCACATATTTCTGTTATAATAGACCAGTGGTTCTCAAACTCGGTCTTGGAGATCCTGTGTCCTGCAAATTTTAGCTTCAACTTGCCTTAACACACATGCAAACATGTTTAAAACCTAGTAAGAGCTTGGCTGTTTCTCAAAATGCATTCTTCAGCAATCTCGTGTCCATCTGTTCTCTTGTAATATCATTATCGATTGCCAAAGTTCAGATTCAAAACTCAAGATAGCAAGAACTGAGGATGCACGAAAGTTCTTGGATGTGTTCTTGGTATCGAGGATGCACAGATTCAGACTTGCACTGAACTCGCTCTAGAATTCCCAGATGACATTGCAATTGAATTAAGGAGGTGGGATGGTGGTGGGGTTTATTATTAAAATTCAGAGAAAAAACTTATTTATCTCAGGGGTTTCCCTAAATGAGACGGTGAAAGTAAACATTACCATGAAAATTTTATTAAAGGAATAAACAAATTAAGAGTGTTTATTTGCTAAAATTCCTGTTAAAATCAGTTTTATTTGCATTGTACAAAGTGTATTTGTAAGGTTTTTGTGCATGTTTTATATATACAGTTGAAGTCAGAATTATTAGCCCCCTTTGATTTTTATTTATTTTTTCTTATTTTTTAAAATATTTTCTAAATGATGTTTAACAGCAAGGACATTTTCGCAGTATGTCTGATAATATTTTTTCTTCTAGAGAAAGTCTTATTTGTTTTATTTCGGCTAAAATAAAACCAGTTTTGAATTTTTTTATGAACCATTTTAGGGACAAAATTATTAGCCCCTTTAAGCTATATATTTTTTTGATAATCTACAGAACAAACCAGTGTTATACACTAACTTGCCTAATTACCCTAACCTGCCTAGTTCACCTAATTAACCTAGTTAAGCCTTTAAATGTCACTTTAAGCTGTATAGAAGTGTCTTGAAAAACATCTAGTAAAATATTATTTACAGTCATCATGGCAAAGATAAAATAAATCAGTTATTAGAGATGAGTTATTAAAATTATTATGTTTATAAACGTGTTGAAAAATGTGTCCATTAAACAGAAATTGGGGAAAAATAAACAAGTGGTCTAATAATTTAGGGGGGCTAATAATTCTGACTTCAACTGTGTGTGCGTGTATATATGTATACACACACACACACACACACACATATATATATATATATATATATATATATATATATATATATATATATATATATATATATATATATATATATATATATATATATATATATTGAAAAGGAAAGTAAAATCGTTGTAAATTGACAGTAAAATCGACAGTAAATCATTGTATGAATGCTATAATGCAAATTTTCCGTTAAAAATGCTTGAAGGTCATGTGACCATCAGGAAGAACGCAGCATCTCATTTCCACAGGACGTGTTCTGTGTTCTTGCAGTCTCCCGAGTTCGTTCTTCCGAGTTGACCTGGCAAGACCAGTCTTCACAAGAACGCAAGTCCGTTCTCTGCGTTTTTGGAATTGAGAAACAGCCCTTTATTAGTTAGCCCAGGTGTGTCTGATTGGGGTTGGAGCTAAAATCTACTGGACACCAGACCTCCAGGACCGAGATTGAGAACCCCTGTAATAGACCATTGTATAACAAGATCATTTTATATTTATTAATAGACCATTTTATTTAGCCACAGTTTTAATTGCAGCATATTTTGGAGCCGAGTGTTTCTGATCTGATCTTTTTGCTTGTTGCAGCCACCGTCACCATGTTCTTCACGATCAGAATGTAGACAAAAGGATCTGCATACCCATGAACCACATGTCCCCTAACCAAGCCCCATACACTGTGTGCAACAGCTCTCTGTCAGAGTATGGAGTGCTAGGTATTCTGTCTCTCGCAGTACATGTCCAATTATTAATAAATAGCCATGATTACTCATGAAACTTGTTTGTTTTAATTCTGTGTGGCTTCTTCCCTTAGGGTTCGAGTTAGGCTTTGCCATGGCCAGCCCCAATGCTCTGGTTCTTTGGGAGGCCCAGTTTGGAGACTTCCATAACACTGCTCAGTGTATAATAGATCAGTTCATTTGTCCTGGCCAAGCCAAATGGGTCCGCCAAAATGGCATTGTCTTACTGCTGCCACATGGCATGGAGGGCATGGTATGCTCTACTTTGGACTCTCCGCTCATTTGTGTGAGCTGGCTGTGAATGAGTTGATTTTTCATATTGTTCCTTTATAGGGTCCAGAGCACTCATCTGCCCGTCCAGAGCGCTTTCTGCAGATGTGCAATGATGACCCTGACTTCAACCCTGTAAGACCGTCTGACATGTCTCTAAACATCAATATTGTGGTAGAATAAACAAAGATTTCAAAGCTGTTTTCACCCTTAATGATCTTTCGTTTTGACTGCAGAAAATCACTGATGACTTTGATGTGCGTCAGCTTTATGACTGCAACTGGATTGTGGTAAACTGTTCAAATCCCGCCAACTATTTCCATGTGATAAGGAGGCAGATCCTCCTTCCCTTCAGGAAACCCGTGAGTTGAGCTGTTTGAAAGCACTAGAACATATGATAATTATTCAGAAGTTTTATCTGAATTTTTAAACCGATTTAATTATTAATTCCCTTTTATTTTAGCTGATTGTCTTCACCCCGAAATCTCTGCTTCGTCATCCAGAGGCCAAATCTAATTTTGACCAGATGCTACCAGGTCAGAAACAGTCACTTTCTGTCAATTGATTTAAAAATGTTCGCAATAATCGCAGTCATGGTTTCTGGTCATTTTAGATTAATTTGACTGTAAATTTGCAGCATTAAATAAAGAAATCCATCACAATCTAGTTAACCCTTTAACTACCCTGCAAAGAAAAAAAAAAAGAATAAATTACTTAACAGCTAATGTCGCTAGTTAACACTCTCAATGCATTTTTTTCCAAGACAACCCATAATTTCTAAAATATCAACCTCTCCCAAATGGTAGATATGTCGGATTACGGTTAAAGCACCGGAATGAATACATTTACTATGAAAAATCTTGTAGTGAAATCTTGTAGTGTGAAAAACGCTTGTAGTGTGAGTGCAAAATGCGCTAAAGCCTGAAACTGAAAGCGAGACGTGACTTTAAGGGTCTGTTTCATATGAATTTATTAATCAATCTTACTGTTCAGTGAACGCAAACTGCCGTAGTTTATTAAAGACGCAAACTCCTCACTGCACGACAGCTACGTGCCTTCAGCAAATCTCATCATTCCTGCAGCACGAGGGCTTTATGATTGTTTATGAGCGCCAAAAGTGGCGGATCTGTTCGGCGAAATATCTGACTGAGTGTCACTGCATAACAAACGACTGAAACATTATAACTAGAGAATTCTCCACTGTGCTGAGCGAGAGCGCTTCTCACTGAACAGTGCAGCAGCGATGACCTAAGCGTGCCCAGGCCCGGTTGTGGTGTGAGTGCGGGCCGTCGGGGGAGATGGGGGGGGGGGACAAGCGTGCTTTGGCCCGGTTCGAGGCAACTGTACCTAGTGTTTGCATGTTCTCTCTGCGTTCGCGTCGGTTTCCTCCGGGTGCTCCGGTTTCCCCCACAGTCCAAAGACATGCGGAACAGGTGATTTGGGTAGGCTAAATTGTCCGTAGTGTATGAGTGTGTGTGTGAATGTGTGTATGGATGTTTCCCAGAGATGGGTTGCGGCTGGAAGGGCATCCGCTGCGTAAAAACTTGCTGGATAAGTTGGCGGTTCATTCCGCTGTGGCGACCCCGGATTAATAAAGAGACTAAGCCGACAAGAAAATGAATGAATGAATATTTCTTAAAAAAAAAAAAATGAAAACGGGTCGCACAGACCCGAACACCATACAAGGGTTAAAAACACTTTTATGTAATTGTAATTAGTAATTAATTACTTTTGAAGTAACTTACCCAACACTGGTCTTTTTAAGAAGTTGTGCTTTAGTGCCAGGTCACTATACTGAGCTAAATACTGACTTTTGCTTAATTAAGCAAATCTCATATAACCTCATGACTTTGGCTGAAGAAATCAAGAATTGTTTTTTTTTTGTGTGTCTTTAACTCTCAATTCATGTCTCTTTAGGCACTCATTTCCAGCGTGTGATCACAGATGATGGGCCCCCAGCTCAGAACCCTTCAGAGGTGAAGCGGATTGTCTTCTGTACAGGAAAAATCTATTACGAGCTCACACGTGAACGTAAAGCACGCAATATGGAGAACTCTGTGGCCATCACTCGAATTGAGCAGGTACATCTGTAATATCTTTCAATAAAGGTCTATATACTTATTTGAAGCCAGAATTATTAGCCCACCTGAATTATGAGCCCCTCTGTATTATTTTATAACAGAATTTTTTTTCAACACATTTGTAAACCTAATAGTTCTAATAACTCATTTTTTAATAACTGATTTCTTTTTTTTTTTTTTTTATTGGAAGAATATGTACAATTACAGAATGTTTGCAAATATATAAAAAAGATCCTCCACATTTTACTTATGCAAAAAATAAATAAAAAAAATTTAAAAGAAATTATAACAAAAAATTTCCTTCTATAATTATTGGGTACAAGTGATTATATTACAACTACATGTCCGTATGTATATATACACACACATACACATATACACACACACATACAATTTTCCCCCTTGGTCTACTAACACAATTTACAGAGTCTACATATGAATATGTAAACCATTATCTGAATTGACGGAGGAAAAAACTTATCATTACAGAAGGAAAAAACGAACAAAATATATACGCACTCAAACAAAATAGATCACAGTATGCAAACGAAAATAATACCCTATAATACCCCCCCCACCCCCACCCCCCGTCAGTTTCCGTCTGTAGTGCACACCCTTAAGAAAGATTACTGAAAATGGGAGCTGCCATATGATTTAACAATATCCCCATCAAACAACTGTTCCATTTCTCCCTTCCAAGTACCTTATGAAAGGTTCCCATATTTTAAAAAAATTAGGCTTTTTATTCTGTAAATGGTACCGTATTCTTTCTAAATGGAGTGTGTTTGTGAGTTCACTGAGCCATAATTTGAAAGCGGGAGGAGATTTACTTTTCCAGAATGTCAGAATAAGTTTTTTGGCTGTTAAAAGGCCATAAGAAATTATTTGTTGCTGAGACTTGGACAATCCAAGCTCGTGCTTTGAAACCCCAAACACAATTAAAAATTCATCTGGATCAATAGTTTGCCCTGTGATTTCAGAAAAAACTTTAAATATTTTGCACCAAAAGTCCTGTAAGCTAGAACATAAGGCATAACTATGAAGCAGCGATGCGTCAGATATTTTGCATTTGTCACATTTTGGAGAGATGCTTTGAAAAATTTTAGAAAGCTTTGTTTTTGAGTAGTGCAATCTATGTAGAATTTTGAATTGGATAAGTTGGTGTCTGGAGTTTATGGAGCAGTTATGTATTTCTTCCAGACACTCTGTCCATGTTTTATTAGGAATCTCTGATCCTAGCTCGTCTTCCCAAAGTTTTTTGATCGTGGATGTTGTGGGCGATTGGTGGGTTTGAAGGGTGTTATATATGCGGGAAATCATTTTCTCCATACCAAAATGGTCCTTCAGACAAATGTCAAGACAGGAAGGATTGATTGTTGTGGATTTCAAGTAAGAGTGTACATAGTTCCTGACTTGCAAGAACCTAAAAAAATTACTTCTGTGAAGCTTATATTTTTCTTGGATTTCTTGAAAGGTGGCGAAAGCACCATTCTGGTAAAGATCACTAACTGTGTAAATTCCTGCATCTTTCCATTGTGAAAACCCTTTATCTAGTGTAGAAGGTATAAAGGAGGGGTTGCCGGCTATTGGCATTGATAAAGGTAGTGGTTCCACCTTAAAATGAGATTGGATTTGTCTCCAGGTGCGAATAACACTGTTAATAACAGGGTTGTTTCTATAAATTTCTTTTTTAGATCTTATTGGTGAAAGAATGACAGCACCAAGATCGTAAGGGGTACATTCATCCTGTTCTATCCCGAGCCAATCCAGCTGTCTAGAGTTATCATGTAGTATTATTGATATAACTCTGAGATTAGCTGCCCAGTAATAACAGCGGAAGTTTGGGAAGGCCAGACCCCCCACATTTCTAGCTTTGGAAAGGTGCACTTGTTTAATTCTGTGATTTTTGTAATTCCAAATAAAGGGCAAAGTAATTTTGTCAAGTTGTATAAAAAAAGATTTAGGGATAAACACTGGTATGTTTTGAAACAAATATAGTAGTTGTGGCAGGAAAATCATCTTAATGGCATTTATTTTACCTATTAATGAGAGGGGGAGGGTCCTCCAGAACTGAATATTTGATTTTAATTTTTCTAAGAGAGGAGTAAAGTTAGCTTCTTTTAAAAAGCTAAACTTCTTTGTCACGGTTATTCCTAAATAAGTAATTCTATCGATGGCTAATTTAAAACGAAGTGGGTAGATTTGTGAGAGGTCCTTAAGACCGACTGGCATGAGTTCACTTTTATTTAAATTAATTTTATAACCTGAGAATGAGCCAAATTCTTCAATAACTTTTAGTAAAGTTGGAATACTATTTGCAGGTTTTGTTACATATAAAAGAACATCATCAGCGTACAATGAGATTTTGTTCGTTGTGTTTTTAGTGTTAAGTCCATAAATTCTCTCGTTCGTTCGAATTGTTTCCGCTAGGGGTTCAATGGCCAGGGCAAAAAGAAGCGGGGAGAGTGGGCAGCCTTGACGTGTACCCCTAAATAAATCAAAAGGATGCGACAAAGTTCTGTTTGTGAGTATTCGTGCCCTAGAGTTTTTATATAAAGTTTTTAGCCAAGAAATGAATCTTTCCCCCAGTTGAAATTTATGTAAAAGGGCAAATAGGTAAGGCTATTCTACCCGGTCAAAGGCCTTTTCGGCATCTAAGGACAAGATCACTAGGTCAGACCGGTCTGTTTGGGAGGAGTATAGTATATTAAACAATCGACGTAGATTGTTAAAAGAGTTACGGCCTGGGACAAAGCCAGTCTGGTCAGGTTTCACTAGTTTTCCTACCAATGTGTTCATTCTGATAGCTATTGTTTTGGCTAATATTTTTTGATCCACATAATGAGGGATATTGGCCTATACCCCTCAACCTCTTCAGGATCTTTTCCTTTTTTAGGTATAACTGTAATTACTGCTTCATTAAATGACTGGGGTAGTTGTCCCTCCTCCAGAGCTGAGGAAAACATATCAAGCATATAAGGTGTTAACAAATTGTTTAATAATTTATATACCTCACAAGGGATTCCATCAGGGCCGGGGGCTTTACCTCCTTTAAGTGACTTTATTGTATTCTTTATTTCATCTAAAGTAAAATCTGCTTCTAGAAATTCTCTATCCTTTTGATCTAGCGTTGGTAAATTACAGCTGTTTAAGAATGTTTCTACAGCCTTGGGATCCTTGTAATCACTTGAATATAGAGATTCATAATATTGTTTAAAACGATTATTAATGTCTTTGGGGGATAATGCGTAAGTCCCAGATTTTGATTTAATTCGATGTATTGCACGGTCATTTTCAAGCTTTCGTAGCTGTCTAGATAACAATTTATGTGGCTTATCACCAAACTCAAAAAATTTTTGTCTCATAAACATTATAGAATTTGAAAGCTTTTCAGATATTAATTTGTTATAGTGATATCTCAGTTTTAATATTTCTTTATATAGATCTAAAGAAGGCGTAATAGCATTCTGCTCATCTAGTTGTTTAATTTGTTTTTCCAAATCTATTAAGGTAGCTTTGTTTTTCTTATTCTTTGCCCCTTTAAATGATATAAAACAGCCTCTTAGATATGCTTTAAAAGTGTCCCACAGAAGTGAAGGAGAGATGTTTGGTTGGTTATTAGTTTCAAAAAATATTTTAAGTTGTGTTTGTAAATACTCACAGAATTTTTCATCCTTAAGTAGATAGGGGTCTGCCCGCCACAATGGTTGAGTATTACCAATTTCTGACAATTTCAGGGCAAATGTAATTGGGCTATGATCTGAGATCAGAATATTATGATAGGTGGCCTTAAAAGTGAACGGAATTAGTTTTAAATCTACCAAAAAATAGTCTATTCGGGTGTAAACATTATGAACTTGTGAGTGGAAGGAGTAATCTCTTCCAGTTGGGTTTGCTAACCTCCACACATCATTGATATTATAATTTTTAATATATGTTTTGAGCAGTTCTCTAGATTTGGATGGGGGAGCACGCTGAGTTGACGATCTGTCTAAATATGGATCTAAAACACAATTGAAATCTCCCCCTATAATTAAATTTGTGGATGAGATATCAGTGATGCGAGAAAACACATTTTGAAAGAAGCACGGATTATCAAAATTTGGTCCATAAATGTTAACCAAGGTTATTGGTGTTGAGAATATTTCTCCTGTAACAATGATAAATCTTCCCTCCTTATCAGTAATTGTGGATCTATGTTTAAATGGAACCCCCTTTCTTATTAAGATTGCAGTACCCCTGGCCTTAGATGAAAAGGAAGAAAAAAAAGACTGACTTATCCACCTGGCTCTTAGCATCGGATGTAGATCCTTTTTAAAATGTGTCTCTTGTAGGAATATAATGTCTGTGTTCATAGATTTTAAATGACAAAGCACTTTACTACGTTTAATAGGATTATTTAAGCCCTTAACGTTCCAGGAGGCAAAATTCAGAGCTCCCACTCCCTTATCTGGCTTCATACTCAGAGCAGCTGCCATCCCATCAAGTATCTATTATTGTACCTATTTCCCCAAGTATGCACTCCCAGACGGAACCCGATTTGCCATCCCCTCCCAAAGAGAACACTTAAAAAAATATAAAAAAACAAAACAAGAACATACCTGAAAATCCAGGTTTGAGTATACATCAAACAGAATTTAGTAAAATAAACTTGGTATAAGACACGCCCAACTGGCCTTAGCTGACTAACAGGAGCTTAAGTGAACAGTTCCTTTGGTTATAATAAATGTTCGTCTGCACACGCAAACAGCTCGGTTTTTAAAAGTCCATAAAGCGAAGCGTATAAACCTTGTGAAAAAAGATTGCGTATATAAAGTATGTTAAAGGTAGAAAAGTACAGCGTTATCGATCAGCCTTGCACTGTTTGCACAGTCTCCAAGGATGTTACGGTACGTTACCCTCACCAAAATGCCGTTCTGCGTATTCAATCGCTTTGGCAGGGTCGGTAAAGTGTTTTTCTTCTCCATTGTGTGTGACCCGTAGTTTCGCTGGGTACAGAAATCCGAAACGGACGCCTGGTTGATCTCGCAGTAAATTTTTCGCTTTGTTGAAACGGGCACGCTGTTTCAGTATAGCTGGTGGGAGGTCAGGAAATATTAGAAGCTTTTCTCCCCTGAAAGTGATGATTTTTAGCTGTGCTGCTTTTCGGATGATGTCTTGCCATTCGTGACAATAATGCATCTTGACGACAAATGCCCGGGGATATGGAGTGTTATCGGAGCGATTCCTCAGGGATCTGTGAGCACGGTCGATCAAAGGCAGAGTTTCCAGAGAGAGCGCGTTCTTCAACAGGTGCGCGATAAAGTCCGTTGTTTTGTGCCCATCCTCTTCTCCTTCTTTAACATTAAGGATTCGCAAATTTTGCCTTCTACTGCGACTTTCCAGATCCGTACATTTTTCCGTAAGCTGTGTCAAGCTGCTTGTTAACCTTTCGACCTCTTTTTGTAATTGGGAAACCGCGTCGGAAGAAAAAGTTGCGCTGCGTTCAAGTTCAGCGATTGTTTTAGCTTGCTCGCTCATAGTATCTTTCATGGTGGAGATTGAGACACCCACTTCTTTCTTTATAGCCGTCAATTCTGCTCTGATAGAGATCGAGAACTGATCGATTTTTTTGTCGAAAGCCTCGACTATTTCTGACTTAAATAGTACGAAGTTTGATTGTAGCTTAGCAATCCCTTCAAGAACTGCGTTGTTAGCCTCGGTGCTAATCTCATCGCTGCGATGAACTTGTATGTCCCTCGGGGTTTCGGTCGTCTGCTCTGTATTTTTTTAATTCCTGTTTGGCATCTTAGTCGAATATATCAAACACAGCTGTGTTGCAATAAAGTATTAGATAGTTTAGCTCGCAAATATCTTAAAAGTTGTGGAGCTGTTTTCACATGCGTCTTGCACTCACATGGCGTCACCCGGACAACTGATTTCTTTTGTCTTTACCATGATCACAGGACATAATATTTGACTAGATATTTTTCAAGATACTAGTATTCAACTTAAAGTGACATTTAAAGGCTTAACTAGGACAACTATGCAAATTAGGGTAATTAGGCAAGTCATTGTATAATAGTGGCTTGTTCTGTAGACAATTGTAAAAAAAAAAAACATTGCTTTAGGTAGGATTGCCAAATTCAGTTCCTGGAGAGCCGCAGCTCTGCATAGTTTAGTTCCAACCTTGCTTCAACACACTTACCTGTAGGTTTCAAACAAGCTTTATTATGCAGCATCCCAATTCGTGTGCTATCCATCCTGAATAGTATTTAAAATTAGAGTTAGTATTGAAAGGAGTATGCCAAAGATTCCCGGATGGTTTACTGTTTCTGGATAAATTCTAAGTGTAGAAGCGTCCATATTCTAACCGCTAATATTGCAAACAATACATTACATGTTGGACGAGAATTTGTTTAGAACTACAAACTCGGGGAAAAAATGTAAACAAACTACAAATATGGCGGACACATAAGGCCAACCATCAAGTAAGGAGGCTTCGGTAAAGTTGTTTGAATGACTGTTAATCAATATCAAACCAACTGGAATGTATTTAAACTGCGTTTTCTGATTTATTTTTCATCTACAACAACAATGTGAACTTATATCAAGATATGTTTGGACATTAACGTCTAACTGCATAATTACCCAAAGAGCTGAGAAGATTTCTCTGCATTGAAGACTCGCGAATGGCAGATTATCGAATTGCAGAAATGTGGATGATGTGTTAAGATGATTGACAACAATAGGACTTTTGTTCATGTGAACGGAGCTGCTAAAGTTAAAATAAACAGCACTTGGAGGCGCTCGAGCACAAAACTTTCAATGCGAGCACACATTGAAGAAGGCGATATAAACATGGAGCTGCTTATTGCACTGGTGAGCATTAATCATTTCTTCATTGCCAGAGCTGGAGCTGCTACTTAAACCATCCATGCTTGATCAAATCGCCAGTAGCTTTAACAACAAGGGTGTCAACTTTCTGTCTTTTTCTTCTGTGTTACAAGCAGGTGTCAGAAGCTTAAAGTTGTTTAGCGCCATCTAACATCAAGGAGTGTTTTTACGCACTCTTCTGCACGACAGCTGTGAAAATCGCTTTGGTTTGAATCTAGAAAAACGTCTCAAATCGCTGACGATAAACGCAAACGAAAAGCGTCCCGGCGTGTACGAGCCTTCAGTTTGATCAGGTGTGTTTAATTAAGGTTGGAACTAAACTATGCAGAGCTGCAGCCCTCCAGGAACTGGATTTGACACCTGTAGCTTAAGGGGGCTAATAATATTGACCATAAATAAAAACTGCTTTTAATCTAGCCAAAATAAAACAAATAAGACTTTCTCCAGAAGCAAAAATATTATCGGAAATACTGTCAAAAATTCCTTGCTCTGTTAAAAGTTAAACATCACTTAGGAAATACACTATGCTGTTGTCTGACTGATGCTCTCGCTCCTCCTCAGCTCTCTCCTTTCCCTTTTGACCTGGTGAGAGCTGAGACTGAGAAATTTCCCAACGCTGACCTGGTCTGGTGTCAAGAGGAACATAAGAACCAAGGATACTACGACTACGTCAAGCCCCGGATGCGCACCACCATCAATCGTACCAAGCCTGTTTGGTAAACCGACACATCCTTGTATAAATCTATGATGCTCCAGCTGCTCTGTCCATTCACTCTCTGTCTCTCTGTGCACAGGTATGCTGGCCGTGAACCTGCCGCCGCCCCGGCCACCGGAAACAAGAACACCCATCTTCTGGAGCTGAAGCGTTTCCTGGACACTGCCTTCAATCTGGATGCCTTCAAAGACCACATCTGAATCTGTCTCCGCTACAAAGAAAACGAAAACCCCCATTCATCCCACCAACCAAAACAAACCATGCCAAATTATTTTATTCATCCCCCCCAAATAACAAATAGTGCTTTGCTAACACTCACTCTCCGTCCAAAAATCACCCTCTTCTGCAAGTTTCAGCACTTTCCAATTCATGCTGTTCATTTTAAAAGGATAGTTCACTCAAAAATAAAAATGCGGCCTTATTTACTTAATCTTGACTTGTTTGAGAACATTGAGTTTATCTTATCTAATGTTGGAAGCCGGTAACCATTGATTTCCATAGTATTTATTTTTCCTACCATGGATGTCAGTGATATTTTTCAAAACATCTTTTTAGTGATCAACTCAAAGGGTGAGTAAATTAAGACAGACTTCTCATTTTTGGATGAACTGTCCCTTTAAGACTTGCCCAGATCAACAATACTGAAAGCTTGCAAACCGCAGGATACACTGCAAAAATGCTTTTCTTAATTAGATTTTTGTCTTGTTTCTAGTCCAAATGTCCAAAAATTCTTAAATCAAGAAGATTTTTCTAGAGAAGCAAAACATATTGTCTTGTTTTGCGAAAAAAAATGCCAATATTAGGTGAGTCTTTCGTTGAAACAAGCTAAATAATCTGCCAATGGGGTAAGCAAAATAATCTAACGTCACAAGGAAAAAACAGATTTTTTTTTCTTACCTCATTGGCAGATTGTTTTGGTTGTTTTAAGGAAAGACTCGCTTAATATTGACATATTATTTCTCAAAACAAGACAATGCTTTGCTTACCCAGAAAATACTTCTCGATATAAGAATTTTTAGACATTTGGACTAGAAACAAGACAAAAAAACAACAAATTTTGCAGTGTAGGCGTAAGAAAGAGATTACACATGAATAACAGCACATATTTTAATGGACCTAAAATCTTTTCAACCAAAGCACAGTTACAACCCTCTAAAGAACGTACTTTTACAGTAATCAACAACTCTTGCCTCTGAACTCATTTCCCTAAGCTTCCATGTAGGGTTGTCATGATTTGTGTATGCTACCTTTGCTGTATGGCTTTAATTTTATGCTTGTTTTTCAATAATTGTGGACTAAATTCAGATGAATGGATGATTTTGGCACATACATTTGCAGTGTCTGATTAATAGGAAAGATAAGCGGCGAAAACGACACTTTATCTCTACCTTTGCACTGTTTTCTGGTAAAAAAAAAAAAAAGAAAATAGGAAAAACATTTGGTTCACTGAAGTGGATGTTTCAGACGTATTATTGTATTTATGTATAAAAAAAATAACTTTGTATTCTGAGATGAAAGGTTTGGTGTGAAAATCGGGCCAGTGTGGAAAACTCTTTACATGCATGCTCATCAGTTTTGCCCCAGGATCATTGTTTATAGATTGCATCGTGTACCCTGCACATGTGGCTGATAAATATCCATGATAACTTGTGCCATAGAGCCCGGCCCAGCAGCAGAGACATTCAATATGGCAAGACAGACACAAATACACCTGTCTCTGGGTGATATTTTATAGAAACTCATGAGAACGCTACTTTTTTTTTTTTGGATCATTCAGATTCTCATAACGGTTCAGCTTCATACAATAAACTCATAATCTTCTGAGACTTTTGAAGGTGTTCATTTATTAAAGAACCTGAATTGATTTTGTCCTTATGACAGTTGGGGTGGCACGATGGCTCAGTGATAAGCGCTGTCGCCTCACAGTTTGAAGGTTGCTGGTTTGAGTCCCGGCTAGGTCACAGTTGGCACTTCTGTGTGGAGTTTGCATGTTTTCGTGTTGGTGTGGGTTTCCTTCACAGTCCAAAGACAGGCAGTACAGATCATTTTGTGCGATGTAAACAAAAACAATGTTCCCAATCTATTTCCGGTTTTACATTTTGAATTTCTGTAGCTTCCGAGAGTCCAAAAAGAGCCACGTATTGATAGGTGAACATTAGGTTCAGATTTAATTGCCTCTTGTTACAGTCATAAAATACAGGTAGTTGGTTGGCGCAATAGCCTAGTGGTTAGCGCAGACATATGGTGCTGTAGCACGTTGCGAGTTCGAATCCCGGCTCGAGGACATTTCCCTACCCTACACCCCTCTCTCTCTCCCACTTCGCTTCCTGTCTCAAAACTGTCCTATCTAAAAAAAGGCCAAAAATAAATCTTAAAAAAATAATAATAATAAAAAATACAGGGAGTTTGATAACAAACAGGAAATGTTCACGGGTCAATGACATGAGCACATTGAAATGGTCTTTAGATAAATTGAATAAACTAATGTGGTCTCTGTATGAGTGTGAATGTAAGAGTGTATTGGTGTTTCCCAGTGCTGGGTTGTGGCTTGAAGGGAATCCGCTGTGTAAAACATATGCTGGATAGGTTGGTGGTCTATTTCTCCTCCTTCTTCAATTTATTGCCGGTTGACAAACAACAGAATGGTGTATTTCCCCCACTAACTGGTATGTAGTGTGGATCATTATGACTTAAAACTCCCGCCACCCTCCTCAAGCCCTCACCTTCCGCTTACTTTTATTAAATCCTCTCCCACTGAGTTTTTTAAGATACTGCAATAAAAAGGCAAGGCGTTTATTTCTGGAGTTATTTTGTAGAATGTCATCTAATTTAAATTGAACTTTTATCTCTTCTAAATTCTTACTAAGAATCCTCCTTTCATCTTCATACAGTGTAATATAACATGGTCAACTGTCTCTTCTTGTCCACAAAACTCACTTTGTCCTGTACCATGTTTGCCCATTTTAAAAAGTGTACCATTTATTTTTGTGTCCAAATCTCACCCTATTATTATCTCCCTATTATTATTTCCCTTCATTTCTCATTTCTCCAACTGTCTTCTGAATTCTGTTAAACCACTGGCCCCTTTTCTCATATCCCATTGTTTTTGCCACCTTTCCTTGATCCTTTTCGTAATACTCTTGATTTCACTTTCACTTGCGTATACCAACATGTCATTATTTTTAACAGCTTGTTTTGCTTCCTTTTGGCAGTTCATTTCACTGTGGCAAACACTGATGAATTAAGGGACTAAGCTAGGCATGTCCAAACTCAGTGCTTGAGGGCCGGTGTTCTGCAAAGTTTAGTTTCAACCCCAATCAGACACACGTGGGCCAGCTAATCAAGCTCTTACTAGGCCAAAAATGTCCAAAGTTGGTCCTGGAGGACGGTGTCCTACATAGTTTAGCTCCAACTTAATACAAACTTCCATTCAGGTGTGTTGAAGTATTTCTAGAAGGGCTGGATTAGCTGGTTTAGGTGTAGTTTAATTTCTGCGGTCACGCCATCTGCGGTTCCGAGAGAGACAGTCATGTGATCTGTGCTTTAAGTTGTAGTGCGCGTCTACTCTGTTTTGCGGTAAATTAAAGACGCGTGTGTTTAATGCCCTGCAGTTTTATAATCTTGTTTCACTTTTATTCGCGTAAATGAATTCACATGAGAGATAATCAAAAATCGTCACTTTTATTCATATTTGGGTGTATAATGATCATGACTTTGCATGTAGGCTATGCTATTATTCTTTTGTTTTGCTGTAATTGTGTTTTATTTGCGAGTTTAAAACAAAATTAATAGTATTTAAGTCATTACCCGGCTGTCAGGACTATTCACATTCCCTTTCATATTTACAACCTTAACTTAGGTGTTTACTGTGTAATTATGACTGTTTTATTGGTTTATTTGTGTTTTTTTTCTGTAAATATTTCCCTCTTTTTCATGTGGAATGTTGCTAAATTAATGAAAAAAACATTATTATTATTGTACAAATGTTTATTTTCTCTTCTTAAATCACATATAAATATCAACATACAAAAATCTTGTAAAATACGGTATTTTTACCTAAAAGTCATTAGAAAAATCCCCCCCAAAAAAACAATGTTTTCTACAAACTTTATCAAATTATTATTCTACATGTCCTAATTAACCACTGTGCCCACTTTCATATCTTATTACTGTTGCATATTTTTATAATAGCGCACTAAAATCATGGGAAATACAGTGTTTTTACTGAAGAGTCATATTTAAAAATCATAAAAAAATAAAATCAAATTGTTTTCTGCCAATTCCACCATATTATTAATTTACATCTCCTGATGTGCCACTGTGCCCACTTTCATATATTTAACCTGGGGTTGGAACTAAAATATGTGGAACATTGGCTCTCTAGGACCGAGTTTAGACAGCCCTGTACTAGGCTTTCATGAAACATCCTTGCAGGTGTGTTGAGGCAAGTTGGAACTAAAATCTGCAGGACACCGTGACCGGCCCTCCAGGACTGACTTTAGACACCCCTGGACTAAGCCGAAGGAAAATAAATAAATTGTGGTAGTTAATCACTTGCTTTTCGCTTATTTATGTAGGAATATACAGTCTGATTCTAGAACAGTGGAACCAACAAAATAGACAGATTGTGTAGATTATATCAATATGCACAGGTATAAACTTTATTTGACCTAAAAACTTATTTGCATGGGCCTATATTAATCAATAAAAGCACATGCAGCTCTGAAAATACTGAAATATTGCTAAAGATATAATTTGTGCATTTTAGATCTTGGATCGTTTACAAGGATAGAAATATGGAGTATCGGCCTTGAGTAAGTCACATTAATTAAAAACGCATTCAGACCGTAATATATCACAGATTTACTGTTTGATTAAGTTAATTTTAAACCTTGGAAAACCATTGAATAAAACTATATAAACATTAGATAAATATCGTGTGTTAGTGCCTGCTTGTTATTACTGCCGTTCCACAAATGTGATTATTAAATCACATTAGCAGCAGTTCGCTAACATGCGGTTTCAAACAAGCCTATATCACATTTCCCGAATGTCTGTGGCAAAGTCTCAAAAACGGGACATTTGATTGGTTCATCTATGTGTCACTCAAAGCATCGTTTCTCTTATTGGTCCACTGCGCCTTCATGACATCCCCCTCTAGTTATTATATAGTTTAGCGGCCTTCATCCGGTCTTTTCTCTATTCGACTGCAGCCAGTGAAACACGGTTCACGCGCTTTAGCACAGCATCCCGCAAACGGAAAAGAATCTAAAGCCATGGCAAGGCCCAAAGTGTTTTTCGATCTGACCGCCGGCGGCAGTCCTGTTGGAAGGGTGGTAATGGAGGTAAAAATAACTTAATATCTGTAAATAAATTAGATTTTCGTGCGTGCAGGCATTTGTAGTAACTCTCTTTCGTGCACCGTTAAATCGCTTTCTTTGAGGAAGCTGCTCTGCCGTATTGCAGCATGCGCTAGCCTAGCGTTACCTCTGAATGAATTTCACTGCACTGTTACCGCTTGGCCTTCATACTAGACTAATTATAACTTTAAGTGTTTATTTCACGATAGGTCACTAAACTTTAAAATTTAAATGTATACGCCTGTGATTTTTGTAAGCTAGAAGCTAAGAAGTTGTTCACAGATTTTAAATGGCGCTCCATTGTGTAAACGCCCAATCACCGCCGATTGCCTCCGAATCTTCGTCGTTTCTTATTTTAAGGCGGTTAACGGCAACATAAGTTCTTGTTGGGTTTTTTTGCTGTTCAGAAAAAAGGGCTGCCTAATAATGTGTACTCGTATTTTAAGGCATGTTAATGTTTTACCGTATTCATGAACCCGGTGGTTCTTGGCGCAAATAGTTCTAGCCGTTTCTGCCATTCTGTTGGCTGGGTGTGTTGAGCGTGTCGCTCCTAGTCCTAAAAATAGCTAATTTTGTAGCCACTTTATGGGTTTACTGCAATGTGCGTCGAGAAGCAGTTGAAGAGCCGCTGCTAGGGCTAATTTTTCGTGACCTGTAGCGGTTTTTCCTCGGGCAGTGTTTTACAGTAGAGTCTGTCACTTTTCAACGGAATGCGGCTGCTGTGCGTCACATGAGCGAGCTGAACTTGTTTCTAATTAGTAGCAATGGCGGTGTGGCGTGATCATGAACTTGAATGCCCTAATGCAGCTGCAGTGATTTTAATGTTATGTTTTATTATCTTTTTAACAGCTGAGAACCGACGTTGTCCCCAGAACTGCAGGTATTTATGCTTCATTTGTGTAATTCTATTTATTTACTTTTAAAGGGCTTTTACGCTCGTATAGAAAAACCATGTTAAGTTTGTGACGTTTTGGACAATTTTCCCCTTTTTTCCTGCAGCATTCAGTTGTAATCATAATTACCAAGCATTCATTGTTTTCTCATTTAACATTTAAACTGGTTAGTTTGCACAATGACAGCATGTAGTATATAGAAAACAAATATATTTTAAGTTTCATAATAAGCCAAGTAAAAAAAAAAAAAGGTAGATTCATAGATTTATGATTACATATTTCAGCCCTTTGAATCGTGCTTGGAGTTTACACACACTCTCTGCACATGCTCTCCCGTATATTATGCATAGCCTACCGCAGCTAAAACACAGGTAAATTATGCGTGGCTGCGTCACAGTAGAGGGAGCATTCACTCATCTCCAGCGTCTTATCCAACCATGTGACCTCTCTGGGAAGCTCTGGGTCCTCGATTTATAATGGCCCTATGATCTCCAAAAAGGAGTTAAAATACTCTAAAATCATGGCGATGAGAGTGAATGAGAAACAGAACAGATCGCGGGAGGCACAGTAATGATCTAAACATTACATTTTGTTAGGTTAAATGATTAGAGCACTGAATATATCGCAAGTGCAAATCCCCCTCTCTCTCATTGAGTGATCTGCTGTCAATGCTTGAAGATTAGCCATATATTTGAATAGTCTTGCAATAGTAAACCGAACTTTCAGTTGTTATATGTAAAAAGGCCTAAATACATGCAAGTCCACTAAAAGCTGGCTGGAGTTTTTAGATAAAATTCATTTATTTGTTAACATTAATATTTAATAATATAACTTTTTCTTGATTTGAGTTGAACTTTCATCATTTGCAATGTTTCTAAATTGCATTGTAATTTTTCATAACAAATTTTATATCTGTTATTTTTTTGGTGGTTCGCTTTGCTGTGGCAACCCCTGATAAATAAAGCCTGGTTTATACTTCTGCGTCAAGTGACCGGCGTAACTCACGGCGCAGGCAACGCGCGCAGCTGTGCATTTATACTTCTGCGCGCTGTCTCTGTTGGTCTGCATTAACGCTTCCGAAACGCTAGTTGGCAGTGAGGTGTAAATGTTCCTCTGTGTTGAGTTTCTTCGCTTCTGTTTTGCTTTTCCTGAACACTTCCTGGATGTACAAGTGACTTAAACTCGCTCATTTTGAGGCAGGAACCGGCGGATGTGCAACAACTTTAACTATGAGGTAAACGCAAAACAAAACTTTCCATCCGGAGCTCCTTCATGGGACTCCACAGTTGTAAACAATCGCTCGCGCCATTCGCGCGGCTCTCGGTCCCGCCTAGACTCGTCAGTGCTACCAAGCGGACCAATCACAGAGCCTGCGCTACGCGTTGTTGCGACGTGTAGTTAAATTTTTTGAGAGGTGCACGTCAGTGATGCCACGGTGCTGACGCATAGCCCTTCGCCGTGGCCGCTGGCGTTTGACGCAGAAGTATAAATCAGCCTTAAGGAACTAAGCCGGAGTAAAATGAATGGATTAATTTTCTGTAAAGCTGCTTCTGGCCATGACGCGTTCACACCTAAAGAGATGTTTAAGGAATTAAATGCAGCATCCTTCATTTATTCTCTTGGGTAAGGCAAAGATCTTCTCTCAAGGTTCATACCTGAAGGGAAAATGTGCTTAATGCATTATAAAATTTGAAGCATTAGAATTGGTGCTCAGTATCAGCCGATCACCATGACAAGGAATCGGTACTCTCAGCTTCAAATATCCTGATTAGAGCATCCCTAGTTTTAACCCAACTTTGCTGTCAGAGCAGCAATACTCCTCCTGGCTGTACAAGACTGATCTTGGTAAGTCAGTAAATACACCCTTAGGACAAAGAAGTATACTTAAGTAAAGGTCAAGTATATAAAGTATACTTTATTTAGTAAGTATACTAGTATCAATGTTTAGTAGTGTACTTTAATGTTCTTCCAGAAGCCTATTAGGGTGCACTGCAGTAACAAAAGCTGAAGCCTTAACTAATATGGACAGGTCCCAAATGTCACACAATCTGATTTTTCTAAACTTTTTTTTTTTTTTTTCTCTCTCTGTAGCATTCAGTTTTATTAAATTGTCGAGCATTCGTTTTCTGAATTTAACATTTTAAAATTGTTAGGTTACAAAATGACAGCATATAGCAAACTTTTTTTTTTTTTTTTGATTCAAGTGTTTTTTTAAAACAGCACACAAATCTTAAATTAATAAATAGTAGTTTACAGTTAATGTGTTCTAAATTAACTAACTTGGGGTGGAGGATGATATCAAATTGAAGTTTTACCAACTGAAACATCACAAATAATAGTTCAACTTTTTTTTTTCTGTAGTCTTCAGTTGTTCATGACTACCAATCATTTATTATCCAAAACAAAATGTCACATCTACGATAACTGATGTTTTTCACCAGCATTACTTATTCTAATTACCAAATGGGAGAATTTGCTGGAAAATGGCTCAATCTAGTTCAAGAAATATCAAATTGAAGCCTTACCAACTGAAATAGACAAATGTCCGAAAGGTTGAACTCGGTTTAAAGTGCTCCTTATCTGTATTGTTTTTCAGAGAATTTCAGGCAGTTGTGCACGGGTCAGCCTGGCTATGGCTACAAGGGATCCTCTTTCCATCGTGTAATTCCTGGTTTCATGTGCCAGGTATGAACAATTCGCTCTCAGTATTTGCTGGATTTTGCCTCTGTTTTGTTTTAACCTGGAGTCTTTATGGATACAGGGAGGTGACTTCACAAACCACAATGGAACTGGTGGCAAGTCCATTTATGGCAACAAGTTCGCGGATGAGAACTTTAACCTGAAACACACCGGCGCTGGCTGCCTGTCAATGGCCAATGCTGGCCCCAACACCAACGGCTCCCAGTTCTTCATCTGCACAGCCCTTACATCATGGTGAGTGTCATTGTGAGTGGCCGTGAATCCTGAATCCATTCCGTTTTCCTGACCCCTTTTACTCATCCACCGTCTTCATACAGGCTGGACGGCAAGCACGTTGTCTTTGGACAGGTTGTGGAGGGCTTGGATGTCATCAAGAAAGTAGAGGGCTTTGGTTCCTCCAGCGGCAAGACCAGTGCCAAGATTATCATCGCTGACTGTGGCCAGCTGTAAACCTCGACCATTACCTTCACACATGCCCCAATATAGTACTCCTCAGTGTCCCTTTCCGAAATCCTGCCGCTACCTGCAACATTCCTATCCAAGTTTTACATCTGGACATGAATCCTTCAGTCGTCCATATTTGTTGCCTTTGCTGTTTTTGTTGTTTTTTTCTTTTTGCGAATGAAGTCCTGTAGGCCTGTCATTTGTGTTAAAGTCTGAAAATAAAGGGGAACAATGAGTAAACCGGTTTAATTTACGATTTTTCTATTGTTCAGAGCAGTGGTTTCCCAGCCCTGTTCCTGAAGACACCAACAGTACACATTTTCAACCTCCTTCAAACGCCAAAATCAACTCCTCATAACAGACTCGAACCTGAAGCTAATGGTTCTGATAAAGGAGACATCCATAATATGTGCTGTTGGTGTACCACCAGTAACGGGGTTCGAGACACTGCTTTAGAGCAGTGATTGGACTGGAATTGGGACACTTTACAGAATGCTTGGTACCTTCAGTTAACCTTGTTCCGTTACCAGTGCATTTGCTCTGATTTGATAATTTGACTCTTTTTCTTACAATACGTTAACATCAGAACAGTTGAGATTGCATATGTAAATGGTCACTTAGTTAATTTATACTGTAGGGTGAAAATGACAGTAATTTCTCAAACTAAAACCTAAAGGTGCATCCTTGCAATTTAATTAGTCTAAAATGTGATTTGTACAGCCTTGAGTGTAGAGAGCAGTGCTGTTACTAAGTTAACGAATCAGTCGTCCTGTGTAAAGATTACCAAACTTTTCAGCCCATCACTCCTAAAATAACAATTTCAGTGGCTCAAGACCCCCAATATCCTTTGAAGTGGTTATAAATATACAAATGTATTCAGTTGTGGCCTTTATTTTTAATGTATGCGAGTGCAGGTGCTATAAAATCAATCTGCTGCATCTGACACTATTGCTGTCTTCAATGTGGTGTAATAACCCCAGGCAGCGCAATCAATTAAAAAAAAAAAATTAGGGCTCATGGCTTTTTATTTACATGTTGATTTTTTTTTTTATGAACTTTGTTTCTTCTGTTGGTTGTGGATAAAATATGGTAATTCTAATAGTTTAATAAAATTTATTTGATTTTGAAAATCGTCAGGCAACCACCACACTTCGGGGAACAACTGGTGTAGTGCAGCGGTTCTCAATCCTGGTCCTCGGGCTCCTTCTCACTGCTTATTTTGCCTTACTGTTGTTTATAGAGCTGATTTAGCTTCCTACAAGAATCAGCTGTTGAGATCCCTGTTGTGTTCATTGTGCATGTGGGATATTGACAACCTGAAGTTCATTCATTCATTTTCAGCTTAGTCCTGAATGAACCACTAACTTATCCAGCATGTTTTATGCAGTGGATGCCCTACCAGCATAACCCAATGCTGGGAAACACCCATACACTATTAAATTCACACACATACATACATTATGGCCAATTTCAATTCACCTATAATGCATGTCTTTGGACTGGGGGGGAAACTGGAGCACCCAGAGGAAACCTCATGAACAGAACTTGAAGTTTACGTAAAAAACAAAACATTTGCTCTACAGCACTGTTGTAGCATTTTCATTTACTGCATGTTGAAGTGTGAATGGATGTTTAGCTGTGGTCATGTGATTAGAAGTCACGTCTTGCACATGTTCTCTGAATTGAACACTTTCAAACTGGAATGGTGGCAGAATATCCTGAGGTCTGCTTTGGACATCCACACTTTCACCAGGCAATTATGGTCAAATGGAGCAAACGTTTGAAGTATTAAGAGTAAACTTGTGAAAAATGCGTAGCTGGGGGCTAAAAGAGAAAGAGGACTGAGAACTAAAGTGCTATTTAAAGGCTTAACTAGGGTGATTAGGCAAATCACTATACAACAATGGTTTGTTCTGTAGACGACTGGGGAAACTTAAAGTTACTAAAGAGGGTTTCACTTAAGAGGGCTTATGTTGACCTTAAAATGTTTTGTTTAACTGCTTTTATTTAGCTTTGTTAATCATAATTTAGGAAATTTTGAAAAGGAAAACAAAAGGGGGAATCATTTTGACTAACTGAATGGCAGAGTGCTGCTTCAACTGGTATTGTGCCAAAAAACATGCTGAATTCACTGCTTAATCCAACCACACCTTCTAACCTTCCCTATACTGGAGAATGAGGAAGGCTTAATCTGACTGGGTTGCGTTGGGTTTTTTTTTTTTTTTTTTTACTACAGCGATGGCAAAGGTACACATCCGTAAGTAGATGTACAGATACGTTTAAAACGAATCTGGTAAAAGTACAGACAGGGCTGGAGCAAGCTGTACTGCCGCTCAAGGCAAAGGAGTCTCACGCTGTCCCCAAATGAAAGTGAAAACGGAAATGACCTGAGGGCGCGGGTGTTGAGTGCCGCCCTAGGCGCGGGGGTGGGGGAGGTGTTGCGGACATAACTGAGGACGCGGATGTTGATGGAGGCGTCGCGGAAGCCGCCCTTTCTATGCTGCCGCCTTGACGGTCGCCTCTATGGACGCGCCGGCCCAGACTACACGTTAGTACTTAAAAGTAAAGAAGTACGGCCTCAAGAATGTACAAAAGTAAAAAGTACTCGTTTCAACCAGTCCAAAAACATGCAGTATAGGTGAATAATAGATAACTAAATGGGCAGCATGTATAAGTGTGTAAATGTGGGTATGGATTGAGTGTTTCCCAGTACTGGGTTGCAGCTGGAAGGGTATCCGCTGTGTGAAACATGCTGGAATAATTGGCGGTTCATTCTGCAGTGGCGACCCAAGATAAATCTGGGATGAAGCTGAAGGATAGTGAGTATAGGTAGGTAACTAGAACACAATTCTGTAGGCCTGTCTATCTATATAAACAATGTCTTACATCTTACACTGAATTCTGTCCAAAATTGAATATCTTTTTCGGTAACACTTTACAATAACAGTACATGAATAATGATGTATTAATATGTTAAGTTAACATTACTTTGTTATGAATTATTGATGAGTTAAGGTATGCACTAAACATGCATTAACTTTATCTACAACATTCGTCACGAGTTCATGTGTCAATAACGACTATAGTTACTTGTTAGTACTTGTTAATTAATGTATTAATTTAGGTTTAAGCTAAATGTAACCAACATGAACTCATGAGCTGTTAATGTATAGTTATGTCATGACTTTACTTGGAGAGGCACATCAATATTAACTCATCCTTAACTACTCATAAACCCCTGTTGATGTTGATAGTACACTTTTCTATTGTTATTCAGTGTAAACTCACCAGTTGGACTTGCATAAGGAGTTCATGAGTAGTTAAGAACGGGTTAATGATGATGTGCCCCTCCAAGTAAAGTCACAACATAATTATACATTAACATATCATAAGTTCATCATGGGTAAATTAATGTATTAATTACCACATTAGTTTATGCTTAGTAAACAAACAAGCATGTACTAACAAGTAATTAAGGTAGCCGTCATTCACACATGAACTAAGGTGAATCATGTTGTAGTTAAAGTTAATTTATGATTAGTGCATACCTTAACTCATCATTAATTCATAATAAACTAATGTTTAGTTTACATATTAATACATCATTATTAATGTACTGTTATTGTAAAGTGTTACCTCTTTTTCTTTTGCAAACTTTTTTTTTTTCATTAGGCTACAGCTGCTTATTTCTTCAGAGCAGCTGTTAACCCAGAAATAAAGAAAATAAACCACAATGCATACTTTTTAAAAAAGTGTTTGATTGTTTAATTACTAAATTTACAAATCTTTATTTAAAAAAGCACTATATTTCCCGATATTAGATTGAAAGCCCATGCAGTAATGATCGGAAGTGGACAAAAAGCATTTAAACGGGATGTTTTTGAACTGGAATGCATCTCTCTTGTTTACCTGTGATCCGATCGAGCAGAAGGTGTCTTATTCAATAGTATCTGGATGCAGCCTTTATGATGCAAGCTGAGATTGCATCACTCAGCAATGCAATGTCAGACACAATGCACTCAATGAAGTGAGTGACGGCCGACGGGTAGGGTTAGGTGAGCGGATTAAAAAGCATTGGATGCAGCTCAGATTGCACTGCACAGAGTCTGCAGCCAGACCTCTCTCGTCTTATTACTCTGTAAACAGAGCAGCATTGTTAAATTCGCCGACTCTCTCTCTCACATCTGCGAAGTCATCCTTGCCTTTCTCATATTAATCTTCATAAACTAGTTCACGTACGGTGCACGGTAGCCGCACAGTGCAGCAAGCGGGAGCACAATGAGGAAAAATAGATTGTTTGCATCAAAAAGGCGCTCGTATTACTGCGCAATGAAAAGAAATAATATAGATCGCACCGCCAAACACATGAAAACGAAGGTAACGAGCATGGTTTTTAAAATGTAAGTAGAAAGTACAGATATTTGTGTAACAATGTAAGATGTAAAAGGTTGTTAAAAAGTAAGTTGCAGAGTAAAGTACTGTCACCAAAAAAATCTACTTAAGTACAGTAACAAAGTATTTGTTCTTCATATTTCCCATCTCTGCGCACTAAGGACCCTCTGCATGTCTGCAACAAGAGTCTGTTGCGGACATTATAATCCATAAAGCAGGTAACAGCAGATTTTGGCGTCATCTGAATGAAAGAGAAAATCACTTCACCCAGTCCCATGCAAACACTGACCAACATTTTTTTTGAAGGCGAAGTCTCTTGATATTCATTCATTCATTTTCTTTTCGTCTTAGTCCCTTTATTAAACGGGTCACCACAGTGGATTAAACCGCCAACACATCCAGCATGTTTTATGCAGTGGCTGCCCTTTCAGCTGCAACCCCTCACTGGGAAACATCCATACACACTCATTTAAAACACATTTAGCTTACATTTATACAATTTAGCTTACCCAATTCACCTATAGCACATGTCTTCTGGACTGTGGCCTGCTTGGCCTACTGACAGAAGAAATTTTGGCATATAACTCAGCCACACAATGTCTGATCTGCCTGAAACTTCACACGTTCTATAAGATTCCTCTCTGAACACATCTACATGCCAATATTAAGTCGCAGTTGTAGCGCCACCTGCTGACACAAGGACGTTTGGCTTATAACTCAGCCACAGAATGTCTGATCTGCCTGAAATTCACAGGTTCAATGAGATTCCTCTACTGAAGACATCTACATGCCAATATAGTCACAGTGATAACGCCACGCCACCTGCTGACAAAAGGAAGTTTGGCTTA